CTATCATTGTGTTCATAAACGATGACATTACTGATGTTGGACTGATTAAAAAAATTGGCTCATTTCGCCATTTTTATCTTTCTTTCCCTTTCTCTGTTATCCATCATGGAAGCTTACAAGTTATTTTAAAGACTTTTTCTTAGGAATCAACTTCAGCACAAAAGTAGTCAAATAATTATCCGGCACACGTGTATGTTACACTTCAGCATATATTTTTAGGTTGAAATGATTTCATACTAGTTTTGATTTGTAGTTTCCTCTGTTCTTGTACTATGGTATTGTACCTGGAACCAAACAGAGAACAACTCAAACAATTTTGAAGTGATATTGACCACAATTTTGTATTGAAATACAAGAAACACATGCTGTACTACCTTAATTGCTTAGGTAATACCAATGTTCTATCAAGGGATTTCATAAAAGCCCAGCACAGGGAAAATTAACCAGCTGGGAACACAAGCTGCCATCAAAATCTCAGCTGAACAAATACTGTACAAGCTGGGATTCTGTATCTTCTTCCTATGACTTTTTGAAAAATACATATTTGAACTTACAGAATTTTCTAGGAATTGCCTCAAAATGACTTTAGGGGTGAGGGAAGGTTCTTCAAGCTTACATAAAGTATGCCTGGTAGTCAAATCCAAATGCCCCATGCTCTTAATGTTAATGAAACCTCTGTATATCTCACTACATGGTACACCTTTCTCTTCTGAGCCCTGATTGCTAATAAGTTCCATGGTGCTGTGTGTCTGTTCAGTAAAACACGTAGATCACAGATGACATCAAAATGTGGTAGAAACCAGAAAAGTGGCACACACTAATGTTTTTACAACATTTTTATGTCATTTGTGATCTATAACTGTACGGACACACAGCAACATGGAATTTATTTGTTTGTGTGATTTAAAAGCAAAGTTCTTTTAATGATAATGTTATCTGTGGGTCTGTCCTCTACTGGGTTTTGGGTAATCCTGCACTGACTGAGTTGTTTTGTCTCTAGGTATTACAGAGGAGCTGTAGGTGCCCTTTTGGTGTATGATATTGCAAAGCACTTGACCTATGAAAATGTGGAAAGGTGGCTGAAAGAACTACGGGATCATGCTGACAGTAATATTGTTATAATGCTAGTGGGAAACAAGAGCGATCTTCGTCATCTTCGTGCAGTCCCTACTGATGAGGCAAAAGCCTTTGCAGGTAATTTGGAAATAACCACCAGTTTACTTTGAAAGTAACCTTGCATGCTGGTTAACATTTTGCACATTGCAGCTATACACTAGAAATTATTAAATTTGAAGCTTGAAGTGCCTACTTGGCTATTGCTGACCGTAAATACTTATAGTGCAAGAAGCTGTCAGCCAGCCAAAACAACTGGCCAGTCTATCCTAGCAGGCATCTCTTTCATCTCATTTTCCCATGACTGCTGGAGTAAAATTGTACAATTATTGAAATAACATCTAAGATATTTTGTACAGTGGCCAATTCCCCGTGTTTAGTGGAACTGAGTGTACATTTTACCAGTAGCTGCATTGGGCATAATTTTATTTTAAGTTCAGAGTGTGCTCAAGGGTTTGTGGGAATTTTGGGGAACACATGTGGACATTATATCTGAATAGTTCCCAGTCTTGCATATGATCTGAAAAAACAAACTTGCAGCCAACTATTTTTTAATGCCCTCAACTTTCAAACTGATTGGTAGCCTGATGTATCATGAACTGAAAGTACTTGTTAGACTGAAGAATTATGAAATACCTGTAGTTATAGTTGTAGTCAATAACAATTGGGCTCTCTTCTTGATGGTAACAGTGTCTTTGGTGTAAAGTATGATTTACATGGCACACAATTTTGTATAAACTTTAACACTGCTAAGAAGAAGTGAAAGTGATTTTATGAATGTTGCCCCTTTATTTTATTCTTCATGTGGAGAGAGTAATTTTTTTTTTTTTTTTAGAGAAAAATAGTCTTTCATTTATTGAGACATCAGCTCTCGACTCAACAAATGTAGAGGTGGCATTTCACAACATTTTAACAGGTCAGTACAGTGTTTCTTCAAAAGCATTCTCTTGTAAGCTGTAATTATATTTAAGCTCTTTTAAAAAAATTGAAAAAACATATTTTGAAAAAGGTGGTATCAGTGTAATAGATCAATCATCATACAGTAGGGTAAGTTCAGATGTAATGAGATGGCACTGTAGAGAATTTAGAACTATGATTTACTTGAAAGTTTTGGAGCTGAGTTGCCCATTCATATTGCCATTAATATCATGATTTATTTTGCCTTTTAGAAATCTACCACATTGTATCCCAAAAACAAATTCATGATTCACCTGGTGGTGATGGGAGCCAACCAAGTAATAATGTGCAGCCCATTATCGTACACCCAACGAATGAAGATGCTCAGAAAAAGAAAGTTCAATGTTGTAATGCTTAGTCAAGAAGAAACCTGAGTTGACTACTGTTGTCCAAATACTCATTGGGCTTTAAGCCCTGCTCTTTACTTACAGCATAACAAAACCTTTTCAAAGGTGTTTCGTACACATGTATTTCCATAGTACATTAATTTTAGAAATAAATAGTCCAGGACAAGACTGAAGAAATTATCGTTTAATTCTTGTTGAAAAGCTGGTTAAGGCAAGGTTACCTTCAATGTATAGCTTTATTGTATATGTACTTTGACTGATTTTAATGGTGGCAATATGTTTCAAAATTGAGGAAACTCTGAAATTCTGTCTGTGTGTGTAAATTAATATGCAATTTAAATTGGCAAAGTGCATGGTAGTATGGCTCAAGTCTCGTGCACATTTATTCTTTTTTTGTTTTCCATGCATTTCTAATTCATGATATTTTGTACATGTTCTAAAGACTACACATTTCAAAGCTGATGAGTTTACCATTTATTGTTCTACTCCCTCTGACTAGTGTTAATCAAATGTCAGTGAATGCAGGATGGGTAAATCCTCAACTTTAATATTTGAATGGAGTAAATTTCATCTTCAAAGTATACCCTCTTTAAGCAAATAAATTTCCTTTAATGCATAGGTATATGTATGGACTTAAGCCTGTCAGAGAATGATCATAAATTTCATATTCATCTCTTGTCGATGTATTGATAGCATGCTCTTGTTTGCTTGTGCTCCTGCTGTAATTAATGGTTCAGTGATTGTGTTGAAACAGGTTTAGGGGGAAACTTATCAAGCATCTATGCAAATATTGTAAAGATGTGTTCTTGCAAACCGAGTGAAAATCTTTTTATTTTGTTGGCAAACGAAGCTCCTTGTTTTACAGTTAATTTTCTTACCACAGCTGTAAAATAGGAAAAGAAAAAAGGATTTCCAGATCTTTTTTTTTGAATGATGTCAGCGATAGTAGTAATGATGGAAGACAAAAAAAATACCCATCCTGTTATGAGTCATTTGGAAAGTCCTTGCACGCCTGTTACTTATATTCATCAAATCAATACTATAGCACTTGTCTATGTCTCTCCTGGCTTATTTTTAGAGATATTGCAAGTATTGTGCTATACCTCCCATGGCAATTATTTTGAACAAAATAATAAAGACCTGAGTTATCTACAAGCCAGTGGGTCATTCATTATTTCCGGGATCATTTTTTATTGGTCATACTCATTCCTCATTAGCGCTTCTTGAGGACGTGTGCTAGGTGCTAGCTACACATACCTTCTTTAAAGGGCCATGTACGAGTCCCAAAACCATGGTTAGATGCAAAACCTTTCTTTTTTTTTGTTTGCGCGAGAATAGAAAGTCATCAAAAGCTTCGCAATCACCCTCGTTTTATATCAGTGGTTTGACGAAATTCCAGGAGCATTCGACATTTTCTATTAACGATGGGAAAAAGGGCGAGGCTAAGAATGGTAATCATTGCAAAACTACCTAACTGATACCAATTATCTTCAGATAATGACAAACAAGGCAATCAATTAGACTTATTCTAAAAGCTTATTTAAATTCTGTGCCACGCTAATTATTTATTACATTCAATTTGTACTATGTAAATTGTCTTGAGTATAAATACCGCCAGTTTAATACCTTGTGTCACTGCATGATTGTGACTCTGGAATAAAGATTAAATATTGGACATTACAAACTTAGTTTCGCAGGGATTTCCATTCTCAGCCTCGCCATTTTCCATCTCTTAAGGAGAGGTATTCGGTATCTCAGGAATAGCTCGTTAAATGTCGTGAGAACCAAACGAAGAAATCACATCGGCCAGTAACAGTAAAGGATAATACCTTAAGAGCCAAATATGCAAACAGATCATAGCACGGGAAAACGTTAGTAACTAACGTAAAGACGTAATTAATTTTAGTCTTGCATTGGGTGGTCGAGAGGGTAGCAGGAGTTTCTGGACCAATCAGAGGCGTAGGTTACCTTGTACAATCAATTGAAAATTGCTTTATCATCACCAGTTTATATGGCCATCTCTCACATTTTTGGCAAAGAACTAACAGTTGTTCGCATGACTATCTCAATTACCTCGACTGAAACTACCCTGGCACCTGACCATGTATACCAAAGCTTTCGGGACCTCTCGATAGTATCGAGAATCGAGTATTTTTTACCGGATTTTCCAGCTCTACCCTTTCACTGAAAAAAACCACGGCGATGTAAACTTAACAGTGTGTCATTTCTCCTACGAAATGTTTTCCTCAATTATTAAGAGACTTGACTCTAAGTAAGTCAGGTATTCATTTAAAAAATAGAACATGACAAGCGATAAATGCTCCTGATGGAGCGCTGTTCCTCGTTTGTGAACTGCCCTTAGCAGCTCTAAGTATTCAGCTGCTCTAAGTATTTAGTCATATTTGCTCCCTCAGTTCTTAGCCAATTGCCGGGGCCGGTTGTCTAATTTGCAAAATGCCTTTTTCCGGTTAGTGTGGTTCGCATACAATTTTTCCCATAATTATTTGCATTTACAAGCACACGACATTAATTTCTGACGAAGATTTTCGTCGAACTTGCTTTATCTTTTTTTTTATCGCAAAACTACCTTCGTAATTGGCGAATGAAAAAGGAAGAAACAAAATGTTAATTATATCGAGGCTGAAGAACACCTTTGACTTTTCTAGTTACCTTTGGATTATTTCGAAAAACGTACAAAATTCTCGACCCACTGAATCGTAAGTGTTGCTGTGGCTTCCATCCTATTGGTTTGAATCTCCTCAACCCTGACTTTATGAGGTGGGAGGTTAATTTCTTATGGATGAAACCTTTCATTTCATATCCAATAGCCTCTAAGGCCGCCATGTTGTCAGTCATTCTTCACTGAAAGAGATGACAGGTCAATTTCTTGAGATGAAAACATGAGAGCTTCGCGATACCTTCGTTCAAAAAGACTCAGCTTCCGGAAAAAGGTAAGGTTTTTTTCAGGTCCTTAAAACCGAATTTAATTTCATGAAACTTCTTAAAAACCCCCTTTTTTAATAAGGCCATCAAGCAAGTGAAATGAGGTTTCAACCAACATAGCCTTTGAACTCATTTTTTCTGGTTGCTATCAATTTACTAAATGTGATTTCATGAATTTCTTTCTAACGCCGGGAAAAAAGAACCTCACCTCAAGCGAAATATGGAATTTATTTATACTTGATTGGAATAACCCTTAAACCGCGTTTGGTCAATATGATAATGCGACGAGTTTGGAAGGACTTACGAGCGCTCCAAACTCTGCGATAAAGAAGCCAAATTGGACGGGTATGAAAAATAGCTACTGATCTGAGACACCGTTTGTGCTCGCTACAGTGTTCGCTACTGTGGTAAAGGAACAATACACATTAAAATAGTTCAGAATTGTTTGCATTAGCTGCATCTACTGTAAACCGACGGTGATAAAAAAGCAGATGTTTTCTCGAACGAAATGATTTTCAATGAATTTTCTAACAGTTGTCGCTTCTTTAAAAATATACAAAAAAGTCCTAAAAAGCCAAAGATGAGAGGTTCGTGTAGATTACTTTACAAAGTAAATCGTCTGTAGATGTAAATGCGGCTTGACCATGCGTGCACAACTCAAAGGATAAAATCGCGTGCATATCGTCGTCTTAACAACACATTTAGTTGCCACCTTTCGCTTTTTCATTCACAATCAGCAGCTTGAGTGACGTCGTTTGAATAACTGCATTTTCTAATGGCAAGCATTGTTAAGGAAGCAGTCTGAGATGTGAACTTTTGTTCAAAACAATGAAGTATGAAACGGAACTCGAGAAAATTCGATTTACTTTCGTGTGTGCGGCTTTGAGGCATTGAGGAGAGGCATCTTGATTCGTGTGTTCCTGGCGTGAGTTTCATAACAAAACTGACAAGTTGCAATTGGACGATATTACTGAGTGATAGAATAATGTACCAAAAGTAGCGTAGCTAGGCAAAGGTTGCCTTCATGAGAAAGGACAATCCAGCTTGTAGCTGATTCTGCTGAATGAAAGATCAAGCGAGAATTATAAATCAAATAAAAACATACGGGGAGAATTTGACAACCAAACTAAACTGACCCATTTTGATGGTTTACATCTCTTTATAAAAACCTTTGCAGTTCTGCAAGGGCCCCCGTAGAGTAGAATCTTAGTTACTACTTGAGCAGTAACCTTATTTCTTATAATTTTCTGTTGTTTTAAAACGTGTGAAGAGTATATTCCGAGGGGGAAGGGAGAATGTGTGTTGGTTACTTTTTGACACGGGCTGATAACAACTCCTCTTGTAATAAACCCAATACAATAATAATATGATTATTGTAAAACCGCAAACATTTTACTGAGGAACATGAAAGCTACAATTATTTTCTTATCTTAACCAAGAGAGGTGATCTGATGAGGTGGTTTTCATCATCGATATTAGTAGCCATGTTCAGAAGACCATTGTCTACGTGACCTACTTCTCATGCAGAGGGGAAGGTCGCTCCGTTCTTACGGCTATAACTACATTTTATCTCATTTTTAAGCGAACTTTTATTAACAGATGTCTTTTTAGTTTTATTTAGATTACAACTAGTTTTCTCTTTAGTGATGAATTTTTGTAAACCTTTCACTTTTGTCTGCAGGTGTATGTTGTTGTGTAATGAATAAAAACTACACACATACATTTCCGTCTCGACTTCGTCTCATATCAATACATCACGAAACGTTGGAGGATGAGCTTTCTCAGGGGGAGGGGGAGAATAAGAACCGAGAGAAGGAACTTTCTTGCCTTCTGCTTTGAAAATTGATGTTTTCTTCGTCATTCTCGTCTTCTGTAACGGCATGCTAAGTTCGTTTTGGGCTCCGAAAAACGCAGCTCTTAAAAGACGATTTTCACGTTAAATCATTTGACAGCGTCGCTTTATTGTTTTCATGTGGAGTGACCTGAGCAGGGGTTTTTGATACAATGACATCGATTGGAACAGCGCGAATAACGTATGCATGGCTGGACGAAAATTATTCTGATATTAAAGCAAGGACGCGTATTTTATTAGAATGGAGCACATTTTTGTTTGCTTTCACAAATAGTCAGATGCTAGTGGACGAGGGGTGTCTAAAGGGAAATTTCCAATGTGTTGATTATCAAAGAAACTAAACGATTTGACAGTTATGTGATGGCCAATCTTCACCAGTGGTTAGTAAGAATAGATTAGGGGATAGATCAGAATGCGTCGGAAATGTTGCCGACAAAAATGCATTGATAAGAACTAAATAAGTTTTAAATTCGCAGTCACAGAAACAGGCTCATTTCCCTTGATGCCAAGCAAATATTCGTTGCTCCCTAAGGATTTCATGAATCATCATATCTTATTTGAGAAGTGAAAGTATCTCACCAATTGAAACATTTTTGGCACCGTAAAAGCCGGAATTATCAAGCTCAATTAAATTAAAAGCGAGAATGGAACAAAACAAGATTAAATTATGTAAAAACCACGAAATTACACAAGGTCGATAATTTCAAATTTGACTGGAAACATTTAGTTGAATTGGGTAGGGGGTCAATCTCTCCGATAAAAGCAAATTATACTACAATGCGCGGATCATTGATCTTTAGGGGAATTACTTAGCAACAATATTAAAGGATTGATTTTTATTTTAAAGATCTTATTGCATTGGGGAAATAGAGCAAATTAACTAGCGTGGAGTTATGGTGATAGAATCCACGTAGTTTCTTTTGTGTGTAGTGACAGATGTTTGTTTTTCAGGCAATTTTATTTTGAAAGAATTTTGTTTCTCTTTTCTATATCTGCGTAACCCTGGCTAATTTGGTAAAATTAAAAAAAAACTCTTTCATGCAACATCAGTGGTACTTTACGTTACTGAAACTAAAAGAACTTGATCATAATTGGGAAATTTTTGTTAATGGAAAGTTGTGGCTGTCTTGATATAATTGTGGCAAGTAGTAAAAAACTTCGGTTTTTGGCAGTGGATATTATTACCGTTGGTGCAAATATTTAGGTCAGGAGAATAAAAGAATGATCAAAAATAAAGCAGCTCTTAATTTTCAAACAAATTAACCTCGTCAACACCGTAGAAAATGTATAAATAGCAGTATGGGGAATATGCATACTGATGTTAGAGTGTAAATAGTTAGGGGCTTTTCCTCTACGACGGCTTTTATCTTAAAAGATACGGAAGCAAGACATACTTTTAAAGTAGTCCCCAGAATTTTGGAAAGCAATTTCACATTTGTAGATATCCCCTCCCTCTTGTCTTGTGATATTAATTGAGATCTTTGAAACATATGAATTAGCTTTACATTTTCATTGTCTGTATGGACTAAATCGAAGGATTACTGGATGCAACTGTGGCGAATTCACGCAAACTTGATACCAAAAAGTACCAAGAGCTTTTCGTAAGTGTATTAAATGGAGGGTAATTCGGCCATGAATTATTCACTACCCACTACGAGAGCGAAGAAGTATTGTTAAAAGTGACAGCTGAGCAAGAGTGCTTTGTATTTTCCAGCCAATAGCTCGCCAGACGGATAAATCCGATAACTCTTTGAAGCCATTAGAGGGAAGACTCAGCTTAATAGATGCAACGTTGATAAGAAGTTTGAATGTTTTCCTCGCCTTGGACAAATTGTGGTTTATTTCCAGTGGTGTTTTATTTAACAGATATTGCCGAGTGTATGAAGAGATTCATTTTTTAAAATTATTTATTCAGTGAGCGGCTTGCATTATTGTTGGCACTGATGAAAGATGAACTTACTCAATAGACAACAGTATGAAAACTTTTTTAATCCTATTTCGACGAAGTGCCAGCTAGCTGAACAATGATAAATTACTCTTGTCGTAATTTTTACCGGGAATCAGCGACCATAGAGCGATCGAACAGCACTCTTCGTATAAATCAATATCATCAGCATATTGGTGTTTTTCAATTGAGCCATGGGGAATATTATTATTTTTTTGCTAACGATTAAAGAAACAACCTGCAAACCTATTTCATGAGTTGATCAGAGAGCACTTGAAGGATTCTTAACGTTCTTGTAATGGCAACAAACTGGGATAAAGTCAAGTATATTTCCCGTGTGAGACCAGACTCTGATTATGGTTTGTTCGATGACTGCAACGACTCGTTAGACGAATGCGACGTGCGAGTAAAAATTAATGAGGTATTGAGAGAACCAAACGAAAATGGCTCAGAAACACTTGTTCATCGATTGCATCCTTCTTCGACTCATCTTCAAACAAATTTAAAGCGCAGTTCTCGCGACGGACTATGCTTGTCAGTTCCACAAGACATCGGAAGAAGAAGTATTTTGCGATTGCATCGGGAGAACTCAAACGAAGTCGCCATTGAGAAAACCTCTGTAAGGACCAGCGTAAGCATGAATTTGTTGCCGCGGTATGGTTCCGATTTAAATGCGGATATTCTGGCGCGACCACAGCCTTTTGTTAAAACGAACAGACGGGCTTTCGTAAAAGATTTGTTTTTTAAACAAGAAGAAGGTGATAGTTATTACAAATTGAAGGTAAGCTCAGCGAACATTTTTCATGATGGGTAGTAAATGGGGTCACATTTCATAATCTATGTAAATTTCTCCTTTTCTAGTTACTTCTGATACATTTATATTCATCTGTGAAAGTGATTTCGTGATTCGTCTGTTCATTTCTATGAAGAGACGTACATTTGCCCAGGCTTCAGCTTTGAACAGGCCTGATTTCTAAAAATTTCAACCAGACGAGATATTTTGAGCAAGTTTCGGTTTAGAATGAATTTATAAATATAATTACGGTGTAACGATTCACACAGAATTGCCATGCGGAAGATGAAAAATAATATTCACAAATTTCAAGAAATTGTCATTCGCATTAACAAATTTACGGGAGCCACTATGATAACAGAAATAATATTCTATATAGTATTTTGTTTCAGAGCCAAGAGAAATGGAAATTTTTTTAAAGATAGAAGAGACAATTCATAGCTAGGTAACGGCTATTGGCAAAACAATACGCAAACGCTTTAGTCATGAAATAAGGTTACGGTATTTCCGAAGAATAAAAACCCTCGGTTCAAATGTTTTGATAGTTTTGAACTTTAAAATGATCTATGTTTAGACAATAATCCGCCGTTTTTTATAACGGTTAGTGTTGACGTGACATTCGAAATCGATGACAGTTTTAAGCCCGAAAATTAGCTCTGATTATTCCAAAAAACTAACCGCATAACTGTAAAAGCTTTCTATTTCCCTAGGTTTTACTGATACAATCAATGACCAATCGGGTCTCACACAGTATCTTAGTTATTATGAAATATGCGTAACTCATCAGTTCAGAACTTATAGACATTGTTTGAAGGATCGCTCATTGGTTTCGTAAGATCTTAATACTATCGAAGAAACGAAAGTTTCAAGAGAGATTTCCCAGACCAGAAAATCAGAATGATCGCGAAGATGTCTGCTCAACTTTTCTAAATCACCAAATGTTGTAATTTTCAATTTTGCTATTTGCTGTAGTTTAAATTCATTGTAAAGTTATTTTAAGAGTTATTTCTGATTGGGAGCTGAGAAGATAGACCGCATTTAATTCCCGCAGACATAAAAAATAAGAAATAAAATTAAAACAATAATGAAAAAGGAAAACTAACAAAAATTTTAAAAAAGAAAGCACAATGACGAGTAACATGAAGCCATACTAGTGTAAGGGAACAAAATCATTTTTTTAAATAAAAATTGATGGAGCGACGAATGTACAAGTGAAAGAAACTGAAGTTTCTATTCGTAATCAGTGATAAGAGTTCTTACCTACTGTTTCTATGGAAACAAAATGAACCCCATGGTTTACGGATCAAACCCAACAGCATGACATTTCATCAATTTTGAGTGGGAGTTTTGTGAGCATGTGTGCCCATTGAATGGCCGCTGTTCGTATTACAGTCAGGCTCAGATGTGACATTCTTGATAGGCGTGAATATTCCATTCTCTCTCTTTTCGAAACGCAGTCGAAGTAAGAGATAAAATTGAATTCAATATTACTCAAAGTTAAAACGAAAAAGCGCAATTATCGTTTTTCAAAATCTAGGAAGCCTGAAACACACGAGGCATAGTAAGTTTGACGTTCTGACGGACTTTTGTTTCCACAACAAGTCGCTCTGCTAAAATCAGTGGCAGCGACTTTTTGGAAGCAGTACACTTGAAGCGGTCTGCCGCAAAGAACTGTTGAAGTGATGTGTCGATTTTTTTCTTCCCGGTCTTATGCCGTTTTCGAACGTTTATCGCGTGCATTTCGTTAATTAATCTTGTTTCTTGATATCCGACATTAAAATCTATAAATCGGCAGGAAAAAGCTCGTATAATGATCTAGCTTTTAGCATGAGATCGAAAAGTTTTATTACGCCATAATATGTTAATAATATGTTCAAATTTTTGATGAATGCAGTTTTTACCCACAGACATCTCGTTCACACTCGCACACTGAAAGTCGAATAGATCACCACTCTAAAATACTCCTGAACGCGTTTAGACTGTATTTGTATAATTATAAATCACACAGACAATAGCGAATATTGTATTATCAGAATTGAAAATGAAGCTTTGTTTTCAGTATGAAACAACCGAACGCTTTCAATTTGATAAAGCTCGAAGATTTTGTTTCAACTAACATGGTTCTGTTAATATTTCCAGAAATAGCAAGTGTTTGTATCTTGAGTGCATTTTTTCGGTAAGGTCGGTATCAAAGTCAAATTGAAATCTTTTGCATCAAATGCCAGTGATTGGGATGCTTTCGTGCCTAAGACGTTTAATTGGCTCTTAATATGGGTTTCTTTACCTTTAGCCAATTACCTTTCATCAAAATCATTATGAATCAATTTAAATGTAAGTTACCTAGAATCTGCGGTTTTGGTCATTGTTATTAAATCTATACACAATTCTGACACAGTCTGATGATCAGTTTGATCATAAAAAAAAAAAATGTTTTTTTGTTTTCTTGGAGAAAAATGAAGAGAGAAAATTAAGGAACAGATATATTGTTCTAGAATAAAGGCCGACACCAGAACACTTATATGGTTTTCGTCTCAATTTAGAAGAACACATTTGTTATCTGAAAAAAAAGTGTTTGAATTATTAAAATGTTGCGGCAGATGTTCTCGCTGGTTTGCTGTTTAAATCAAAAGCAAAAACTTGAAAGCTGACATGTTAAATTTTTTTGTCTTGTTCATGATGATCCTCCTGGATTTCCGCAGAAATCATGAATTGTGTACTAAGGAGATGTAAGGTAAACAATATTGCTTTTTTATTGGAGAAAATTTCCTCGCAGTTTACATTGGTTGGGTGTTATAATTTGGAACTTCTGGCAAATCACGATCTAGACAACTTCCTTTTTCGTACAATTTTGCATCATTTGGTTGGTTGCTTTTTCTAAAATTCATCGCAGTTCCTCGCTTCCGCGAGAATATAAGACAAAAGGGTCTGCACTTTTGGATAACCATTCATTTGACGGCTAAATAAACTCGACTTCTTTATTCATCTCGCCGTCCTTCTAAATTCGGTTTAATTTTCCTTCATCTTACCTGGCAAAATCGTGTCGGACTAAGTTAAATTATAATGTTAAAAAATTTTCGTGACATTTTTCCAGCCATAAAAGTCAATATCCTAAGATAAGATCAGTTTAACAATACACTGTAACTAGGAACACTTGAGGGAAGTTACGTGCAAAGAAATTGAATAACCCGACTTCTGACAATGCAGTTATGTAGTTGGTCCTTACTGGTTGAAAAGGGAGATCTATGTCAAAAGCACCAATAAAACACTTAGTAACAAATTTATACCAGGACCTTCTGTGAGATATTACGTAAATCACAAAGAAAACAGACATATTCGACCGATTCAGTTCGGTTATGTAATTAATCTTTAGAAGACATCTGTTAATAAAAAGAGTCACGTTATACGTAATATTCATGGATTATCACGATTATCATGACTGATTGATCATTTTCGACTTGTCTTGTGCCTGGGTTCCAGAGTAGGGCTTGTTTTCATTCCTACATTGTATGAAAGGAAAAACATTTACGGGCAACTTATAAGATATATAATCATATTGGAAACTTTCACGGGATTCAGATGAGTCGAGGGGGGGTGAGGTGGGGGTTACCTGTAATTGATAACTTTCCTGTCCAGAGAAGGAAAACAATTCTTCTAAACGCTCCATGCCGATGAAAACCGGACAATTAAGGATAATGAGGCTTTTTATAGAAATGGCTGCACCCATGCTTACACAGATAAAGACAAATGAAGTCATTCGAAAATGAGCCGTGCGGACATGAACACGTTACCTCTAGCTCATCTTGAGGTCCTTTTTTTCTCATGGTGCAAGCCCTTTTGGTTGACACTGTTTTGTGTAAAGAAGACTGAATAGACAGCTGGACTCATTTTTAGCCTGAGACCATAACAGCAAAAGAGGGAAAGTTAGTTAGGAAGGAAAACAGTAACACCCAAAAGGAGATATCATTGCTGATACCGATACAACTTAATAGAGAAAAAAACATACAGAGTGTTGCATGCATGACATGAATTTTTTTCTTGATGTTTTTAGTCAGGTGACTATGGAGAAAATGAGAGAGAAACGTTCCACACTTTATCCAGAAAAGGAAACACCGAAGAACTCAGAGCGCTCCTTCAGCAGAATGAAGGTTAATGAGACTTGCTTGGACACTACTATGATTTGCAATCCATTAATTCCTGAACTATTAGATTATAATGGTGAAATGACAAACCTGAATCTATTTATTTGAACCCTTTATCTCTCAAGATTTGATTCTTAATTCTCTCCTCTCACTGCTACTCATTTCGTTGTACATTAGTTTTGAAGATTTGTTGTCAGATCATAACAGAAACTTCCACCTGATAAGTATTCTCATGCTGAATAATGCATGAATAGTAAGAGAGAAGTTACATGTTGATGACTTCTGGGTGAAAGGGATATTTGAGACTGCGCAACGATGATCATTGGAGAAAGAGAAAGTTGACAGTATCTAAACTTGATGCAAGAAATAGCTATTAGCCTCTTACTTTTTTCAATCAGTACTTTGGCCTGGTTTACGAAAACTTAGTGGTGAACGATTACACTTCCATCTTATGAGGATTGATTAACTTAAATTGATAAAAATTCTTCACTTTCAACAGACATCGACAAAAAGGACAGTTATGGTAAAACAGCCTTACACTGTGCAATATCAGCCGGACAAGTCAATACCGTAAAATTTCTCCTCCACAACCATGCAAACCCAAACCTTAAGGACCACAGAGAAGAGGCAGCACTTCACGCCGCAGTGCGTACCGGGAACGTGGAAATGGTGGAGGTAAATTTATGGACATTGTGGAGTAGGTTTGCGCATGCCGAATTTAAAGCGGCAAACCTTTCTGATTTACTAGCCCATTTCAATGCTTATTCACCTCACCGAGGTTTTTGTATTCCTGGCTCTCTTGCTTGATATAACCGATTGATTTTCTCCATGTTTTCAAAGGCTTTGCTGAACCACAAGACCACCAATGTTAACATTGAAGGACGCGGAAAATACACTCCTCTGCATAATGCCGCTCATTTGGAACACCGAAACGCCCTAGAAATTTGCCAAAAGCTGGTAAGATAAGCATTCATTGTGAAACGTCGACAAGTGCTGAACTAACTATTTTAGTCACACTCGGTGCCCTAATTGATAAGGCATGGACTTTGTATTTCGCTCTTGGGAGTGACACTTTATTCTCAAGGGGTCTCTCTACACCAAAGAGCACTAATATTTGCGTAAGGCAAACTGTCAAAGAAATTTCTTACGCTTGGCTTGCATGTGACGGACTTGCAACGCCCTAAATCGCTTCATTTAGCAGAAATCAGGAGAAGCTTCTGGAAAATTGAATTACTTGGCGCATAAGAGAGAAGCAATCTTAATTCCCATCACAACCAAACTTTTCCTCTCCTCAGCTTGACTGTGGGGCCAAAGTAACAGCAAAGGCAACTGATCACATGACACCACTCAGCGTTGCCGCTCAGAAGGGGTCAGCGGATATTATGGCCTTGTTCTTCGAAAAATGTAAGAAATGATCAGGTTTCTCCTCGGGAGTTTAGGTTGAAGAGGGATGACATTATTCTGTTTCAGAAGAGAATAGACGCCGGTTGAAAGTGTTTTTCTACCGTTCACTAGTTTTGCTGTTATTGTCTTCCCCGTTTATTTCATGATTCGATCGTAGGTTCCTTTTCTTTCGGTGATTTTTCATCATTTGCAGATCATCCTTACAGCTAATTGGTTAAATGTTTCTTTTCTCAACATTTGTGGCAATTTCTGCGTCATAGGTTACGAAGTCCAGAGGGGTACAAAACAGAAATTGGACCTTCTTTACGGTGTGGACTCTGAAGGAAGCTCGCTGCTACATCTTGCTATAGACAGCGGTGTTTTGAAGGTAAATTAAACAACATAACAGAAATTCAAGCAGCTGAGGGTCGAATGGGTTCGAAACATGTGCCCACCAATTTATACTTAAAGACTAATTTTCTTTTGCATTTTTAGGCTGTTAAACTTTGTTTGAAACATGGTTGCTCTGTGACAGCTGTCAAGGTAAGCAGCCACAAAATCTACCCCAATCGTCCTCAATGTACTTTGTTCACATAGAAATTCGACAATTTCCACAAAGTGGCCTAATATCATGATACAGCCCGACTCCCTGTTACACAATGGTAGACAATAGCATGTTCCAGAATAAAATACCTGACTATTGTAATGAATGTATCCTAGTTTGGGACTAGTTTCAGTTGAGGCTTCTATATTTTTGGCTTTCGCTTTTATTTATTAAATCTTTCTCCTGAAAAGACTTGTTTTTTTCTAAAAGATCTATTTTTCACCGTCAGCGGTTAAATGGTGGTACTCCTATCCATTTCGCGTGCCGTCTTGGTGCGCCAGTGATCCTTCAGTGTTTATATGAACATGAACCAGCGGCTTTCCAACACGCTTTGTTGGACAAAGAATTCATGACACCTTTACACAGGTAATTAGGAGCTAGAAATGTCATGATGTAATTTTTAAGTCTAAACAAAGGGCATTATCAAAGAAAAAAATATTATAAAAAAACTTTTTTTATTAAGAACGTAACTCTCTTTGGATATCAGCTCCATTTCCGTGGTATAAGCATGAGTCAAAACTGGGTGTGTCTCAGAGTCTTGTCCTTGCTAGCCTTTCCAAGCATTAAGTTGGTAATGATACTTCTGATTGGCTGAAAAATGATGAACACGAAAAACTGCACACTTTTGATTGGCTGAAAAATGATAAACATGAAAAATTACGCGATTCTGATCGGCTGGAAACGAGTGACCTTTTCATAAATTACAATTGCAAAGTTCTTACGCGAATGGAAATCGCAAATTTTTTTATGATTGTATGATATTACAAAATTATTGATAAGTTATTACATGAATTCTCGTGTAATAAGTACCTGTAAATTTTTCAAAGTTCAAAAGTCATGTTATTACCTATACTAAAACGAAGCGCGGTGGTAAACGGCGCGATAGTAGCAGGGGAGTGAAAAAACTAGGGAGGTGCGGGTCGGTTCGCGTCAACCCAAAACTCCCTGGTCATCGCTTTGCCATCGCACTGTTTGTTACTTCGCTCCATTTAACTTACTGAATGCCTGGAACAGGCTAATTCCTTGGTGAATGGGTTCACGTGCCATCCAAAGTAAACAATATTTTTTCATTTAATTTTCTCTTTTCTGAGGATAGCCAAACTATTTCGAAACTGGAAATATCATCATCTAACACTATGTCTGCCTATGGCACAATATGGACACACGTGGGACTGAACTATTTTAAAGTTTGCGGACTGGGGTGGCTTGGTTCAAATAGTCAAGATCGAGTTTTTACAAGAGATAATAATCGGTTTATAATCTTATGGTTTTGACAAGTTGGAGATGTTACCAAGCCACTTTTACCACCAAACTCCCTTGCTTCTTTTATCAGCAATATTTCTTTCCTTAAAAGCGGATAAAATTGGGTGGGGTAGTCGGAAGTCAACCACCCGGTGTGCACTGACCCTTGGACTACTGGACAAAGCCGTGGAGTTAGCGTGCCCGCGGTACAGTTGACCACTCATGTTAAAAGTAGCACCTTGTACGGTCGTACGGTCGTACAGTCGAACGGTCGTACATCCAAATTTTTTCGGCTTGATGGGTTACTACCATTTTGTATAATTATGGGGCTAAGTAAGCTCCGCTATTACTGAGACCTGTTAATTAAAGAAACATCTAGCTCCACCTCTCAAATTTTCCTTTAGGTGTGCAATGTATAATCATATCAGCGTTGTAAAGTTTCTCGTAGAACACGTAAGTACAAATTAATGATGCTTTTCTTTAAACCACTATTTTTATTGTAACTCGTGGTAGCTTTACATATATTCTTTCAAGAGCATTTGAAACAATGAAATTCCTGTACAAAGCCTCTGTTATATCTCATGCAATAACCTACATACTGAACATTTGGCAAAAATTTTCGACTTTGGTTCATCTACGATTGACTCCCAGTGCCATAAACTTGAGGAAACCTGGATAAGAGGTTACTGTTAAGAGAGTATTAACTGTTGATATTCCCTTGTTTCTGTACATGTGTTGGAGACAGTATTAAGTTTATGTAAATAAGTATAGACCATTCTGAACCACTGCTATCAACATTTCTAAAATTTCCAATTATCCGATCCCGCCCCCTGAGGTTTTCAACTCTTGCAAATTTTCTGTTCTGACTGGTTAAAATTTCAAGGCAGTTATTAACCACTACACTTCTTGATCAAAATATCTTCCTTTGCAGGGTGTGGATCTAAACCCTCGGGATCGCGAGAAATGCACCCCTCTATTGTTAGCAGCGGCTCATGGTTGTTCTGCAGTTGTCTCACTACTATTGGAAAGTGGAGCGGACGTTACTAGCGAGGATGACAAAAAACGAACTGCGCTGCACTGGGCAGTGGGACAGGACAGAACTATTGAACGACTTCTAAAGGTATGACGCAATGATCCTCGCCGGTGCGCGAACTGAAAAATTCGATTTCGAGATTAAAACACTAATCATTATCACTTTATGTAAAGAGGAGATCAACTTTGATGCATTTTTAAACTTGTCCGACTGGTTTAACTTGTTTTACAGGATACACGGGTGCAAGAACTAAAACTCGTCAATCAACAGGATATCACAGGAGCCACGGCTCTCCACTATGCTGCACAGGGAGGTTTCCTAAAGGTCAGTTTTCTACCTCGCGTGAAGAGAAGTCTTAGTAAGTCGACTGATGAAGTTCTTAGTTTTATTTCACCTTGGTTTTATAGTCGCTAATTTTCATTAGTGATTCCACAGAATTTTGGAAGAGAATGAACTTCGAAAGAAGGCGACAAATCTATGTTTCGTACCCTTTCGAAGTAGCGAACTCATTACGCCCTTATCTCTACACGACTTTTTCCAGGACCTTTTTTTTTTTATAAAACAACGAGTTAAAGAACAAAGTGGGTAAGTTTCTAAAGAAACTGCCGTGCTTCGTCTGTGGTGGGGGAAGTGTGTTAGGAGACAATTTAGTCTCATCAACTGAGTTAGTATTGTATATTAACCACCTGAAGAGTTTCCTAAGTTGAAATTTCGAGCGTTAGTCCTCTCTTTCTGACTACTCTTCAAAATGATGATGAGGAACTCCGTGACTTTCCAGCTTCTCCCAGATCCTCACGAACCTTGAAATCGTATCAGTGGCTTGTGTTTTCCTTTTATTTTGAATAATTGAAAAAAGAACATCATTCTGATAATTGATTAGCTCTGCTGATTCAGCCGTAGTACAGGGATGTTACACCTGGACTTACTTTCATAATCAAGTTTTCTATGTCACACACTGAAAGAAACTTTATCTCATGTTTCCCTAAATTCCGGGCTTTTTCCTTTTTCAGAGCGTGCTCTTACTTTTGAAGAATGGAACTGATGCAAGTCTGAAGAATAATAAACTTGAAACCCCTCTTCACTTAGCCGCCAGGTATGGACGAAATATGAACGTGTGGACGGCAATTTGAAACTGAATGCTATAAATGTAGTTTGCGATGTAATCACTTTTGCCATACTTAGCGGTGAGAAACAACCGCTGAACCAATCAGATACTAAGCTAGAACTAACCAAAAACCTAATCAAGAACCTTTTCGCTCTTTACATGCTGAGTCCAATGTCCTGACAGAACTATACTTAGGTAACTGTCGAATGCAAATACTGTAAAACAGACTTGTGATATAATTGATACAATACTATAAATAAGACAATACCTTTCCGTTAATTTCTTCGATTGTTAATTTTTGTTAGTCATGGCTGGCTACCAATCGTTAAAAAACTGATGGAAGGTCGACAGACACGTTTGATGAATGTGGGAAACTTCAATGATCACACACCTCTCCATTTGGCTGCTTCCAACGGACAGGACAAGGTCGTCAAATTCCTCTTGGACAGAGGAGCTACAATAGAAAGGTAACCACTACCCCTCATGATCTACTCGTGTAATCATGCATAAGCACGCAAGGAAGCGATCGGGTAGAGACAGAAAAGGGCTCTAGATTCACGCGCTGAAATTTTCGAAATAAATGACAAAGCTTGTATTTCAGACGACCACTTTCATTTCTCAGGCTTAAACACGTGATTCTTGTCATTTCTAAAAGAGAAAAAAAGGACTTTTGTATAGAAGTGTTCTCAGGACTCATCTAATTCCTAAAGTTTTTGGAAAAAACTTATCAATAAAATAATCTAGCAAGCACTTAGAGTATGCTTACATCGTACTAATTAATCAATTACAAGTCAAATCGATTTTATTGAGGTAAGGGTGACCCATACGGCTCTAGATTGACAGAGGCCGTGCCCAATTTATAAACGCGAAACGAGAAAAAAGTGTTGCGTATTTTTCTTGTTGGTTTTTTTTCCAAAGGGATACGGACGGCCGGACACCTTTACATTTCGCCGCAGCAAAAGGGTCGCTAAAAAGTGTTCAGTTGATCTGCTCTTCGAATCCAAACTGTATTAATGTTGAAGATAACGCTGACCAGGTAAGTTCCTAAGAAAGCAGCTCTCCGCTTTATAAAACTGGCTTTTTGTATCTCACAGGTCTCTTTCCCTTAGCTATGCGTCAACCAGATTTCAGACATTTCGCGAAAAACTATTTCTCGCGAATATTGTCTTTGAAGAATAAATTTATTTTGCAAAATGAAACGGTGGTCTTGGTCCTGTGCCTTCGCTTTAGCTGGTATCACGCATACATGGGTACACAAACTCCTGAATATATTCATAGCATTGTTAAAAAAAAAAATGTCCAAAATATTTCGCCTGGAAATCTTATCATGTTAATCCTTCTTCACTCCTTGCTAGGACACCGCTTTGCACCTGGCTTCCAAAAATGGACATGCAGCCATAGTGACGTATCTGCTATCCCATGATTCCCAGAACGTGACGTATAACGCTTACAATCAGAATGCACTGGATGTTGCGATAGAGGCTGGAAAAGAACCTGTCGTGATGTGCATTGGAGACCATTTACGGTGAGATGGTGTAGTGATGGATATGCGTTTCTCTTGATAAAAAGATTCCCGTAAATTATGAATATCATTTTGTTAATTTATGAACATCATCCCTATCAGGTGGAGAGAACTGTGTCATAGAGTAGAAGAAGGCCTTACTCAACTACAGAGCCTTATTATAAAGATGCCGTTGGCTGCAGAGGTCGGTTTCGGCACTTATTCAACTTTTAATCAAAACCTCTCAGTACCTTAATTGTTAAGAAATTATTGGAAACACCCAAAAAAAGACTAAAGATCTGGGTGGGAAGAAACAAGAGTACTGTCTTAGCCTACACCTTGGAGAACCTTTCTTCCAGGCCATTGTATTCCATAAACTCGCGTTTTTTTTTTTTTTGACGGGGAGTTTATTCTGAGATTTAGAATGAAACCTTTTGCTAATTTTCCGAGGAGAAAGTGTTGTTTTGAGGGCAAAGGGCTGTTTGGAATTTCAAAAAGCTAAACTTGGCGAGAAATTTTGAGCCAGTGGCGTTGAGATTTATTGTTTTCTCATAAACATTGGAAGCAAATCATTAAAACAAGGATCCTATAAACAGAAGAACAAAAATGTTAAATTTTGAGCTCGGTCGTGGAGGAAATAAAAAGATTTATTCGTTTAACTAGCGCGAGGCAATGAAAGTTCTGAGTCACAGGGTAATATTCTTTTCCTTTTTAGAAATTTCTTGATAAATGCGTAGAAGAATCAGGAGATAAAGAAAAAAGTGAAGATTATTCGGTAAGTGTTTCCACCTCAGGTAAGATGGTCTTTTTATGTGCCGTATCAAGAGATTAATAATCTCTTGGTCATGTGTGATGTATTTGATCAATTTTAGTAAAATTGCAACATTATCCGAGTTTAATTTATTCACGGTTTTTATACGTTTCAGTGTGCATGCATGACAATGGTTCTTGTGATGTCACAGACTGATACTTTACATTTTTTATCTTTTTATCCAGATAACGTACGACTTTATGTTGTTACAAGGCATGCCGGACCTTAGAAAAAACGATCCTAAGAAGTATCTGGACAGCCTTCATGTAAGCTTCCAACATCTGATTGAAAAGAATCTCGCATGTTTATTATGTGGTTGTCATGATTGGTTGCTTAAAAGAAATGGTTTTTGAACTCTAAGTTTTTGACGTTTTCCGTCTTACTATTTTGCGCTCACGTCTCCCACTTCTTTCCCACAACGATTAGGAGAAAATGTTTGATCCTTGTTTAAGATTTTCATTCTATACCAACATATTCTTGGAGACGTGGTTTGATGCTACTCTGGTTTACAGATTTAATGAATGTAACCGAAGAAGTTACAATTCATAGACCCAACGTTTCGCCTCTCCTGTCTGGTGCCTTCATCAGGGGTGATCTAAACGCTGCAACAAGAGGTCCTTTTATATGATCACTAATTAGCGGCCTTTTTTTCTGAGGTGACGAGGTGTAAATAGGCGTCAGGAAGCAAACTGCCATCGTCACGATTTAATGGAGCGTGGGCGGAATAGGATTAAAGTAGGGATTGTGTTACGTCAGGTGACCTTACGAAAAGGTCACGTGGGTGCAACAACCGAGCGAGGACATAAGAACATGAGCTCCCAATACATATGCATTGAGTTCTGAGAGAAGCTTCTTATGTCTTGTTGTTTGTAATCTTGCGGCTCGTTACACAGAGTAGCATCAAACCATGTCTGATTGTCCACCTGGTTGCCATGTGAACTTTAATATATTATATTCTTGGAGATTGATGGTGTTTCATTGTGTTACTGTTTCCTTTAGACAATGGTGAAGTACAAACGAGTCAACTGTCTGTCACATCCTGTAACAGGGGCGATGATGAACATAAAGTGGTAAGAATTCTAAATCCCTAAATTCAACTGAAAAGGTGGAGACGAGGCCTCTGCCATAGTTTATGCAGTATAGGTGGAGTAGGAGTACGTCTAACCCCTTAGTAGGGATGCTGGTCAATCGCAAGTTGCAACCCACCCACCCCCCCACCATAGGAAATTTGTCGAGTTTCCATGTAACTGGTGCCCATTTGTACTCCTGAGAGAAGAGGAGCGCTGGGTCAAATGAAGTTTCTTCTTCACGAACACAACACGATGCCTCGTCCAGAGCTCGAACCCAAACTTCCTGACCCAAATACCAGTGAGCCTATCATTATACCATTGCGTTTCCCGTTGAAAAGATAAATTGTATATGAAAACATTACTAAAGCCATCTATGACTCAAGACTCCTTTTAATAATTTCCTTTTAGGAGGAGTGTGGGATGGAAAGCGTACACGATGAACCTTGGATTCTACATTTTGTTCTTAGTCATGTTGACCATAATGACCGTTTTACTAGCTGACGAAGAGAAGTTAAATTCTCTTCTTGACATTCCACGCTTCACGATTGTGGTTATGAGTCTTTTCCATCTGTTGAAAGAAATATTCCAAATATGGGACGAGGTGAGGCTAAAAGGATAATGAACGCTTCCGAAAACGGCATCCGGAAAAGGATTGGGAGGGACTTTGAACTCCTGCCTATCTGCCTCCCGTAAATTTTGCCCACTCGGGGCCATTGAAGTCGAAAAAGCGGTTATTGGAGAGAAGAGGGTAATTAAGTGAATCGGGAAGGGGGGGATGGGGGGGCTTTCAGAGAGTAGAGAAGCTATACGAAAGGAGGGGGCTTATTAAAAGAGAGGTAGATAAATTATTTTATAGAGAGGGAGTTATCAAGGGGTAATCTCGTAACCAGATCTTACCTTATAACTGTACTGCTTGGCTATGGAAGGTCTGGGTACGAGATTAATCGAGGGGGAAATGATAGAGTTTAAAAAGTATTGGAAACAATCACAGCTGTATAGAATAGAATGTTATTTTCCAAACTGTTATTCATGTTTATCAGCTATAAGTTTTCTTTAATCATTTTCCTTGTCAAGGAAAATAGTAGCTGTACATTTTACCTGAAAAAAAATGTTTTTTTTTATCAGTATGTCCTTAAAACAATAATAGAACTATGGGAATAATTTCTGTCTCCTTCAGAAATTCAAGTACTTGTTGAAGATAGATAACTGGATGGAGTGGTTTTTGTACATGACAAGTCTTGTCTACATGTTTCAGTACAGTGGAAAATTGGACACTGATCCCAACAGTGAAAAAGATCAGTATTCGTACAGCTTGAAAGCGGTCGCTGCAACTGCAATTTTTATCGCTTGGGTTATATTTGTCCTTTATTTAAGAAGGTAATACTTGTCTTACTCAGAAACATGAAGTCAAGTTGTCCTGTTTTGATAATGAAAGCAAATAGAAAAAAGTGTAAAATTTGCGGAAATAATGTTTAAGCCCCCATTTACTAAAAGAACTTTAAATAAATTAACATATTTTTCTCGTTCAAAATGTTCTTCCGCCTAGGAGTTTACCTACTTCTAATCTTAACTTGCTGGAATATGTAGACGGTATGACGTTATAGTCTTAACCTTAAAAAAATCTCACCTAATTTAATCTCTAAAATTTGTATATTTCTGATGAAGAAAGTTGCTCCACAAAGTTTTGTTGTCTCTGTAATTTATTTTCTTGGGTTTATTCTACTTTCAGATTCTCTACGTTTGGTATTTATATTATAATGATGACAAATATTATCAAAACATTAGTAAAGGTAGGAACTTTTGATTGTTTTGTATTTTGGACGATGCCTCCTGAAAGCATTATATTTTTCAGGTCACTCAAATTTACTTCTTCTTTTCTCCCTAGATCATTATCTTGTTCATTCCCTTTGTAATTGCCTTTGGCATTCCTTTTTTTCTACTCTTACGGGAAAGATTTAAGGTGAGTCTAGTAAATCAATGAAATAAGACAAAGGGGCGGTCCTCTTACCTCTCTGTGTGTCTATCTTTTTTGGGGTTCCACAGGCGTTATACATCTACTTTTCCGTAGTGATCTACAATGAGTAGCAAAGTAGTTTGCACAAGGTGTTCGACAACCCTCCATGCAACATAATAAGCCCAAATCTTGTCATTTATCTTTAATGGGTTATTTACAAGTTAACCCGTCTCCGCCCTTCCCCCCCCCCTCCCTCCCCCGCCCTCCTTAACAGTCAGTGTTTCCTGAAATTTGTGATCATTTTGTAACACCAGGCAACATTGAGGAAGAGCAGGAGATATGGATGAAAGTATTAGAGCAAACTCAAAAGAAGTAGAACGTGCTTAGACTTTCGCCACTCATTGTAGCTGACTTGCATTTTCTTTTTCCTTCTATTTCTTTGTCCTCGTCATCTTTACCAACGGGAATTCTTTCAATTTTCAGTGATTTTGTGTAAATAAAATCAGATTAATTTGACTCTCTGTCCATTCATGTCGCCATGATATCTAATATAACATTAATTTTCAGGATAAATCAAATGAAGCAACAATGTACTTGTTTGATCGCCTTCCATATTCACTGTTCACAACTTTCATGTTGATTCTTGGTGAAATGAAATACCCGCACACCGTGTTCAAGTATCAACCGTTACCATATCCATGGATAAGTTATGTCGTCTACATCATCTTCTGTGTCTGTATGCCAATCATTATCAAGAACCTCTTGGTAAGTTAACAAATACTAAGTGCATAATAATTTCAAGGTAAATCCATCGAAGAGGATAAGATATCCAAATAATTCTTGTAATTTGGCACAGTTGATAGCCATGGATAGGAAAACGGTACTTTACAACAAGAAAAAGTTGTCGCCGTGTTTGTTTTCGTTTGCATTCCTGTTATTTTACACGTTGGTGCAATGCGGTGCAAGAGAAACGACTGAAACTGTACGTTATGGTATAATTTAATCCACAGAAAGAACACATTACTCCTACACTCGACTACTTTTAATAAATTATTGATAAAACGTGAAATATTATTACTGAGGAGCGACTCCAAAAGGCAGTACAATAATTAGCCGTAATAAACTCACCTAAGCCCGTTACAAACTATAACTTAGTTCGCCACTTGTCTTCAGAGTTCCTCACAATGATCAATCTTCCACAATAGCACTCTCTCTCAGTATAGCTTTCCAGACGATCATGCACAGAAGCGATGCACGATGCAATGCAAAATTTCTGATAGGTAAACCAATAAAAGAAAATGAACAGCATCTATTTTTGAGTTATTCTAGATCGGAAGTGTCCCCTTATCTCCTAGATCGGTCTATCGGTCGGTGACGTTAACAGGATTCTCCAATCTGCAAAAATGGAACAACATGGAATGCAGGTTGGTCTGATATTGTGATGTTTTTAGATCAGATTCCCACCTACTGCATCGTATATTTATATCATATATATAAACAAAAGTTTTAATTGTTGACATTTAGAATCATGATGATATACGCTTTTTGCGGTTGAAAAGATTTCAATTTGTATACTGAATAAATTCAGTAGCATACACTTCAGCTGAAGCTTTAGCAATGCAACTCGAAGACGGGAACTGGTAATGGAAGATAGATTCATGTTAAAACTTAAGGTTTAAAAAAGATCAAAGTTTTTCTTTATTCCAACAGTTGAGAAGGAGTCCGAAGGAGATAAATGGAAAATATAAAATTCATCACTTAATTCTATCGTTGCACTTTACAATATAAACGGCAACACAACAAAACTATATCAATATTTTACTTTAGCTATAATTTGGCTGTTCATTCCTTCAAGGTTGAATTGCTTCTAGAATTAGAAAGAGCCACACCCAGGAAAGTTCTTAGAAAGATCTGGGTCCCTTATTGTGTAGAATACCCGAACAAAAGGCGTACGTGGAGACAAAAGGTGAGTTTTCTTTGAAATAGATATACAACCCAATGTTAGGGAAACATTTAAACTTTTGGGTACGTTAAAGAGGTACTCTGGCCAAAATGCGGGCGACAAGCCCCTCCACCTTTAAAAGGCTCGTTTTTCGAAGCTAGCAGTTCGTCACTAAGAGATTTTATTCCGATTTTTTCATAACAACCAACATGGGGTGGTCCATAACAGGTTCCTTCCATCCCCCTTCCTTGATCACAAGTTTTTTTCGCACAAGGGCAAGACCCAGTAAACCAGCTATGGCTCCGAACCCCTATATATGAAACATAATTCGTCAATAACTGGGTCATGGCCAGCATGTCTCTCTCATAGTAATAACACGTGTCACCAATTTTACACTTAGCTCTTAAGCATGACTAACAGAAAAAAATTGATATGGGAAAAAATAGCTCTCGGTGAATTTTAAGCAATTTACTATATAATACTTAAAAATATTCTTGTTTGTTTTCGTGCACAGTTGGTAGAATTTGGTTCGCCCAAGAGGCACACAGCTAATCAACAGACTTATGTCAATCCTGCTCTGGTTCTGATCAGTGACAAAGTCACTAAACTAGGGGAGAAAGTTGATCAACAAGAAGACAAGTTAGTTTTCCTCCACTGTTAATTTTTTTCTGACTGGAAATCATATATTTCTTTAAATTGCATTTTCTAGTTTTGAAAGTTTTTTAAGATTGCATGAATGGTCCGGGAAATCTGCGCCACAGTCAAACAATCAGATACAAAGTTAAAACTTATCGCCAACTAGCCGCTCGCCCCTCACCGCGTCTCAGGGAGTTTACACTATTAGATCCCTGTGAAGTTCTCATTTCCTGGTTTTGCCCAGGCTGTGTCGTCAATGTGGAGTTGCAAATAATAGGGCGAAGAAAAAGGAAACAAGAAACGAAAGGAGACTGCAAACGTACTTGTTAAACCTTCGAACCGACATAAAATGGTATTCTTACCACTTTTGCGATGGCTTCCAATTTCTTTACCACAAGGATATTGATAAAGAATATTTGAGTGACTCTTGACTGTAATACAGAAAACTTCAGAGTGACCCACCTACAAAACCCATCGATTCAAATCTTTCTGGTTGAAAAAAGTTTGTTTGGAAGTTTAAGATAACATAACTTGCAGGAATCTTAATGAGTGCGATAAACTGATTTTATCTTTCCCTACAGGTTACAAAATATTATCCGTTTGCTGGGAAGACTAGATCAAAGGTTGACCGAAATGTCTCCGGCTGGGAAACCATTAACTTCTGCTACGGATGAAAAACCAGCTCTCGCGAGAGAGACTCCGGTTTGAAATATGTTTTTGTTGTTGTTATTGTTTTTAGAATTATTTGCGAATGATAAACCACAAACAATCTTAGAAATAAAAGAAAGTACACTCGTTATTTCCTTTGTTTACGACTCAGGAGTTTTTGTTTTTATTATAAATATTTTTTAGATGGTTCCCTTCAGCGGCTACGCGCAGGAACGTCAATCTACAAGAATGACACGGAGGCCGTCAACGGTAAAAACAAACCAATATGATTTCATGAAAAGAAAGTAAAGGTGTGATGTTTGATGGTGTCTTGTGGACTAAAATAACGAGTCCATATTGCACTGTCCTACTCGCATTTGTTCCATGGGATTGTTTCTATTTTCCCTCTTTGCTCTTTTTTGTTCGGTTATTCTAAAGAATAAAACTCTTATATGGAATTCCACTGAATTATCCGGTTCAGGAATGGTTTTTTCGCTCGCAATTTCTTTTCCAATACCTGAGCTATTATGCGTACTCTTTTTTTTTTTTTTTTTTTTTTTTTTTTTTTCAAATTTCAACGTTTATTGTACTGGTAGACTCGTAGTTACATTACTGCTTCACTGGTGTGATAACGCACCTTTACTTTGCAGTTCTCAACTTTCCCTTTTCTCGCCTGTCTTGTAAAGCAATGGTTAGAATATATTTGTCTACAAAATGTTGTTTCAGGAATCAACAGTTTAAGCAGGAGGACCTCTGCATCTCTGCTGATGAAGCCAGCACAAACAACTACTAAGGTGGCGTGGGAGTCTTGGAATGAAGCATTGCTGCAAAAAACTGAAAAACTCATAATTTCTGAGAGGATGGCGCAACAAGAACTCCGTCGGTTGGATTTCAGTGGAAATAATTTCAAATTAAAAAAAGTACAATTTAACCATTTCAGAAATGACGCCTGGAGTACCATGGTGCCGAAGATTCATTTGGAAGAATTCAGAGAGGGCTGGTTCTTTATCTTGACATAAAAGGAAATTTACTTTTAAATCAGATGCAAACGATTTTCTTTGGATAATACAGCGCTAAAAATAGGAGGGGGAAAAATATCATCAAGCTTCAAACATAAAAGGGAAATGTTTAGGTTTCTTTTTAAATCACCGGAAATAAAAATTTAAAAAATCAGTACAGTTATCATTATTAAACACCTAGTTATTAACAGAATCAAAAAATTTTAAAATACAACTAACCCTCATGCAGTCAAAGCCCCATAGAATGGAAAACATTAATGTGTAAAAAAAGGATAAGAGAGATGGTATGGCTTATTCTAATTACAAACATGACGCTATCGACATTGCTGATCTTAGCAGTATGCAGGACACGTGTCAAATGAACTTCGTGATAGACCTCGCTCACCTAGAGTCTCTGTAGCTCAGTGGTAAAGCATCGGAGCGCGAAATCCGAAGGTCTGAGGTCTTTGTCCCACGCTCGTGACAAGACGAAAAAATCTTTCTCTATTAATATGGAAGTTATATAATTCTTGATAAGGGTAAAACTTGAGCCGTGCTCTTGTATGAGGGTCTCAATGAGGTGATATACATTTCCTTGTAAGTTGGTAAAGTAAAGTCTAAATGACATCAAAGCAATGTTTCAATTCTCATAGACCTGATTGCTAGATAATGTATCGAATTTCCGCCGAGAAGGAACATATTGATCACTTCTAATGGTTGAAGGACTAACAACTTTCCATTCTTTTCGAGAAAGTTCTTCCTTTATCTTTGTACTTGTAAAACATTCCTACCAATACTAAGTTGTGCTATCTGCCTACTCCGCGACCTGTTCGACCAGGGACTAACGCTCGAAACTTCAGCTTTAGAAACTCCTTACGGTGGCCAATGAGACGAACTAAACTGCAAATTTAGTCAACCCAGACGGGTAACGTTCGGCCGTTGGCTAAAATTTCGAACACAAAATTCAGAGCAGCAAAAACGAATCTTTCGGTCGGCGGGATTTCAAACAAAGCAATTTATAATTTATTCAATACGGTCAATTCGTGAGAAGATCGGCGTTTGTCTAACGGTCGATCTTCAAACGTTCTATCCGTCCAAAGCAGACGGACAGGGCGTGTTAGCGATCCAAATTCAGCGGAACGAACTCAACTGTGTCGTATCTTTAAGTATGCATTCATCATGGGAATAGATCGGCTTGACTGAATGACTGTCTATTAACTTTGAATATTAATGTTGTGAAATGTATTTGAGGGGAATATCGATTAAAATGCGTTGTAAGTTGTGCCCGTGGTACATGACGTTACTTTTAGTCACGTGATGACAGGGGAATTTCAGCGCTACCATGTGCTTGAAGCGTATTTACGTGTGATGTTTGTTACTTTGTCATATCAAAGTTGGTCGCTCATTAAAAAGCAAAAGATACAACGCATAAGTTTGAGTGGGGAAACAACCGTATAACCGGGCCACCTTGGGAATCAGTGAGAACTCAAAGTAACCCCAAACAAACTGCCCAAAGCGCGGGAAAAGTCGAGTTGCTAACAAGGCAGTTTGGACATTGGGAGAAGCTCAGTGAAATTGACATTCAGCAAGTCAATTTGCATTAGAACTGTCCCGCGAGTAGGCAAAGCTTCGAACTGTTTTTATGCAATGTTTAGCAATCGTTTGTTAGTTATGGTGACGAATACTTTCTGGATTTTTACACCGTCTTACGACGCAAAGGAGTTTTCAACCTTTGACACGCATCATTTTCAACGCTGTATGTCGTCATCACCAAATGGTCCTAAATCTCTCAATGTCACATCTAGGAGTGAACAGAGTATAAATCAAATAAATAGAGGGGGTAACTTTCTAAAGAAACTGTGGGGCTGCGTCGAAGGAAGAGTGTAACAGGGTGATTTAGTATTATCACCTCAGTTGATAATACCACATTACAGCGTGTAAATAATTCTCTCCTAAAATATCAGCACCATACCACACGGCAGGTATAAAGAGAGTTAGGCAAAGTATCACCTTACTTTATTGATGTAACAGGCATGTTCTCAGCACAAGCTAACGGTAAAGTTAACGGTTTTTAAGCCATTCAAAATCATCCGTGGCGGGCAATCCTTCCCACAATGAAATCTATTTGTTGTTACTAGATTCTTACGCTTACGAGAGATCGATCTGCCAGGATGAAAGGGAAACTATCACATGTTATGGAAGAAGGAAGATTAAGATAATACGTGCTTACTACGGCAGGAAGAAGGCGTTTTAATGTGGATTTGGGTTGGACACAAACTGTGAAGCTAAAGGATCTGAGGCTAAGGTAATTTTTTATTGTCTAACACGCAAGAGCAGTCGGTCAATTAATATCAATTAATTGGCTAAAACACATTTCCAATTCCTCACTGATTTCATAAGTGAATCCAAGCTGTTGCTCTACAGTTATTGGAAGAATTGTTGCTAATTTGTTGTTGACTTCTTTAATTATTTTTTTTGGGCACATTTTGTCCTATTTATTACGGCGTGATTTTTGGTGAATGTGATAGTTGTTATTGCGATCTTTGCCCCCGTTGTCTTCACCGCGTCTTCTGATGGGTTCATGATCTGGCTAGTTAGCAGAATCCTCCTCTTTTTTCATTCCTTTCCTGTTTCTTTTTATAACATATGATGAACAGTTAGATGACTTGTCATATTTTATTTTTGTTTGGTTAAGATAAAGGAAGCTTGCGACGGGAAAAACACGTGCAAACTTCATGCCTCAAATGATGTGTTCGGAAATCCTTGTCCAACGTGGTCTTCCAAGTACATTCAAGTCAAATACCAGTGTGCCGGCCTAAAATAAAGCTGGTATAAAAACAGTATACTCCTTACAAACTGAATTTAAGGACATGTTTCTAATTTAGCCTCCTTTCATCAGAGACGCTCTAGATACACTCGTTAATGTCGCAAAATGTGGGGCAAAGTTGAATGCAAAAAGCTCGGATCGTCTGACAACTAGGATCGGTTGACGAAAGGGGAGGGATAAAAGAAACTGTCCACCCTCAGACTGCGTAAAAAAAAAAATGCACGAAATTAGTCAATAACTTTTTTTTTTTTTTTTTTTTTTTCAATTTTCTCACTTTTTCTGATATTTTTGTACCCATTTTCATTTTCTTCACTGTTTGGTGTTGATTGACGTGCTCTCAGTTCATGAGCATACCCAGGTATCATTAGCATCGACCTGAAACGGCAAGATAATTCAGTCTGTCCCATAAACTCTTTTCTGTTTCATATTACAGGTTATCATTGCTGCAAGACATTCAAAACATTTCAATAAATGCCAAATAATTTAAGTCACCTTTGTTTCGCTGAGCGCTCTGTAAATTGCCACTAATATAAAAAATTCTATAATAAAATACGATACGAACAGCCATCCTAACGAGGAGCAGCGCAATAGCAATTATAATTTACATTTCTTCTCTTGGTTGTCCAGCGTTTTAAAGGTCAAAAATGACAAATGGAAAAAGCCAGATTTTTTCCCGTCCCCATAATTTTTGTTCGAAGGAAACCAATTTTGTGACGCCGTTTACATTCAGAAGAATCAAGATTTTTCGTGAAGCAACTTACTCTCTGTAGATAAGATCCTCTCGCTTAACTATTGGTTCAAAAAGTATTTAAAAATTGTAAATTCTCTCTTCCTTCCTCTTCAAACGGCATCTCTTGAATCAAAATGAAGGAAAGATGAAAAGGAATCAATATACACACTGAAAAATTTTGAGTTGCATCTTTATTAGTTTCACTGATAAGTGTGGTACATTCATTTAAATTACATATTCAACTAAATTACCGTTTTCGAAATTGTAATAACTTCACACTTTGTGCGCAAAACCTCAGCAAGTTAATAAAACTGGTGCGTAATCTCGCCCTGCGTGATGTGTAGGCTGCAGTAATACCTCAACTGTTCCATTACAAAATCTGTTCTCCTTCATGAACCCCACCGTGAGAAGGCAAGAGCTATACGCTGTTGTTATGCCAAAAATCCTCAGAAGTTAGAGCGCCACATTATCAGCGAGAAAAAAAACATTGATACCTCTGTTTTCAAAAGAACCGATGATCAAACATATAAAAAAAAAAAAACAAAACAAAAATGAGAACGTGCGGATATGATCGAGATACGAACATAAAAATCATGATAGGATCACCACAATGTTAATGTCATATAAACGGTAAAAAGAAATGAGATAGAGAAATCTACGGCGTGATTATAACTGAAGCGACAAGACAAATATCTACTACTAATTTATCTATCTAAAGTTGGATACCACTATTTTACTCCTGCAATTTCCTATAATACATAAATAATTTCCCCATCGCACTAAAATCTCAATCCTAATCACATAGCTTGGAGACAAGATCTTCAAACTCGCTCCCCTCTTTAGCCGCATTGTAGCCTGCAGTACGCCTGCTGGTTCCCTGGGTGAGATCCGTTGCTGTATCTGACAGGGAACGCAGAGTCCGTTTGTACGTGAACCCTCGTGTACCGTCGGGTCCGCTGGGTTTACGGATCACTTCAATTCTAAGGGGAAAAATTCCATGATTTTACTACAGAGATCCTTCTCATAGACTAAACACATCCAGTGCGACCGAATCTGTAAAAACTCAGTATTTGGTTCACATTATGAAACGCCAATCTCATTATAGATTATCCTATTCGTACGACGCAGTCCCAACGAGTAACAACGATACAACTGCGAATGTAGAGTTTAACCTTTCATTCCCAACATCTGATCGATAATTCTTAATTCCAGGCCGTTATGAATTTTCGCGAATGTTTGTTCAGAGAATTTGCAGTTTAATTACTTTGGTGGACGTTAATTTTCTTAATCTTCGTCACACTGCCAAATAAACGTTACATATGGTCGAGTGATAGAAGTCAATCAAGGGATTAGTTGCATAAGTAGTTCGTTCCTATCAAAAAATTTTGAATTAAACAAGAACTGAACTACTCACAACCTTTCGGCCTAACAGCCTACCTTGGTCCTGGGCTTTCGACACTCTCCGTGAATGTTCTGCGTATGAGTCGTTCGGGTCGCTGAGAATCACTGTGGAAGAAAATGACACAAATTTCAGATCAGCAGGTAATTCATTCTGGTTTGTGATTACAATGTCTCAGACGTTAATAATGACTGACGAAGTTGGATAAGCAATAATACAGCTTTCTGGACGATCTGGTGATAATATTGACTACTACTTGCATGGAATAAATTTTAAAGGAGTCGAATAAACTACTTACCTGATCCTACGCACACTACATGCGCTCATCTTTCGGCTCTTCTGATTCTGCACCACAACAAATTCCACCTCGTCTCCTGGCTGGAGGATAGAAACGAGAAATACTGAGTCAAATCTATTGCCTCGACGAGCTGAGACTTCTGAGTAGATCTAGGTGATGTCGTTACAGGCGACGTCCCCTATCTAAAGCCTTTCGCAGGAATAATGCGAGGTGAGTGCTTTCTACTTACCTGTAGTTCAACTTCACCCTCCACTTCACTCATATGAAAGAACAGGTTCTTTCCTTCCTCATTTTCGTAAGCAATGAATCCAAACTGAAAATTAATCAAGTGCATACATCGTTTGAACACTACTCTTACCACCAAAAAATCTATGAATCACGAGCGTGGGACAAACGAAAAAAATTCCGCGTCCCCATGGGGAAATGGACTTCAGAAGGAAAAAAAAAACACTTACCTGGCCTTTGACTGACTCAACTCGCGCCCGCACTCGTTGTCGTACACTAACCACTTTCATGGCAATCTCCCTTCCCGTTTGTTTATCGACACCGACTTGAAAACGCACCTAAGGAGTAATAGAAAATACTGTTTAATATTTAATTTGCGACGGGAAGTATACTCTCTTAATTCAGCAGAGAACCGCCTGGTTCACATCCTCAAATGGCAAGGTTATTTCCAGAAGAGAGTTTTGAAGCTCGAGTTGCAGTTCCGATAACACTATACCTTATCTCCATACTGTAGCACAGTCTTTTTGTCCACAAGACTTGTAATTCCATACTCCACAGTTAAGGAGTCTCCATCATCCAAGTCCTCCTCCACCTCATTCTCAGAATCGCTCTCCTGGTCCTCATTTGTAATACGCTCTATTAAACCAGCATACTCCAATTGCTACAAAATACAGGGCCACAAATGATGAGGTAAAGGAAAAGTGAATGAATGAGTAGTATGTACGTTTTATCAATTTATTAATCACTGTTTTTTCGAAACCGAACTTCAGGTTTACTCGAAAGGTGAACTTTGAATAACTCCCACACTAAAGAAATGGTCTATATACATATCCAAGCAGAAAAACGCATTGGTTTTTAGATCTTTAAAGTAAATTGTAAAATCAAAAATCAAAATAAACATTACAATTAAGTTTAAAACAACTGCAGTCTGAAAGCCTTACCTGTGGATCAGCACGCCTTAAAGACCTCAGAACTTTGCCCACATACACCTCTGGCAGAATTTGCTCCTGAGTTATGGTCCCTCGAGCTAGTTTGACTACCATCTCTGCACTGACTTTACCATTCTTACATTTGATGTTGTATTCCACCTCATCACCAAGAATGAGCTCATTGGGATCACCATCGTATTCACTATCAGGGATATTTAGTCAAGCGTTTAATCGTTTTTTGGAGTTGTTAATCGGTAGGCAGGAAAAAGAGAGAGGCACTTGATGAAATCTAGGTTTTGATTTGTATTGCACTATAGAAAACTTTTGCACTATAGAAAACTTTCACCACTACCGCTCCAACAGAGATGTAGGAATGAACCAAGGAAGGCTCGGCTGGTTCTAGAAATACACTTTTAATTATGCTTAAATCGACAGCTCTACCAAAAGAGAAAATACTCTCGCATCAGAAAGCAAGTGAAAATAGTTGTGCAACTCCAGAATAGCCAGCAACTGTATATTAAGTTCAACTGTTATGTACACGTACCGGTAGATAAAATAATTTAGGCACAAACCTGTAGTGGAAAAACACTTCCTTGTCATGTTCGGTTGTCTCCAAAAACCCAAAATTCTCCTTGAGGGTAGCAACAAATCCCTGTCCACCAAAAAAAAAATTAATAATAATCAGCGACTAAAATGCAATTGTGCTGCAGTCATACAAGCATCTCTTCAAAAAGACCTTTAAGAATTGCGCAAAATGGAGGCACTATAAATATATTTCCCATTCATAAAGTTCTCCAAACATCACAAACAAAAACAAATATACAAACAAAAATAGTAATAATAATAAAATACACTGTCTAATTATACTTTTGGACTTCCTAGTTTGCAAAATTTATTTTACATTTAAAATTGTTCTTTAGAAACTCTTCCTGAAAAATATAAAAGAATCTTGTCATTTCAGAAAAGCAAAGAGCTCAGATTCCATACCATGTGCCGCAGTTCACTGTTTCTTTTCAACACTGTTACATTCACTGCTCTTCTGTAACCAGTTCTCTGACTTTCTGACAAATGGAACTCCACCTACAGATTGTAAGCAGAAAATGTTCAGCTCAGTATAAACTAGCTGTTGCATGTGCAGTTGTGGTAAATGTAGTACTACATCAAAGCGTTGCATTTGGTTTTATTATTGGTGACTATTAGAGGGCTTTAATGAGAAAAGGATTTATGTTAAATTCTGTACTATTTTAAATTTCAGAGTACATTTTTTGAAAACAAACAAGGCAAAGTCACAGGAAACTCATCCTAGAACATGCAGAATGTATAATTGTTGAATATAATCATTCCCCACTAGAATACATTAAAGACATCAATCTACTTCAACAAAGATGACATTAATTACCAGGTCACCATACTGGGCAACTCCTCTCAGCTCAAAATTATTAAAATCAAATGGCAACAGCTCTTTGACTCCATCAATGAAGCAGTTGATCAGACCAGACTCACTCTCTCTGTATAAAAAAAAACCAACATACTTAGATGATTGTATAATAAACAGAATTATACATGCATTTTGATTGATCCTTATTTGTGATCTGTTGAGGACAAACACACAGATGACATAACCATCAACAAGTTTCATCTTGTTATTATGTAAAACAAATAGATTCCATGTCACTATGAGTGTCAACAGTAATATATTGCTGAAGACCCCAAAAGGTGGTAAGACCATCAGTGACACACTCAGCTACGCCTTGTCTGCAGCTCTTTTTGTTTTTTGACCCCAGTTTGACATCATCTGTGATCTACAATTATTACTGTACAGATGCACACCAACATGGAATCTATTCATTAACTAAATAGATAACAGAAGTGAACTAATAATGGTAAGTTCAATCTTATGTTGGACCCTCACAGTCCACTTCAAAGACTCAGGTCTGAAATTTAAAAATAGAAAAGAAGTTTTTCACAACATTTCCATCACCCACCTGTTGTTATCCTTTCTGGGGCTGCGTGTGCCATAGCTGGGTTCTCTTTCGATGTATCCCTCATACATTTGAGATGAAACTTTCTACAGAAAATTAAATTGTTGTCATCATGTTAACTCACCATGACAAACTTCTGAGAGAAAAATGATATCCAGGCAGCAAGAAATTATTATTGCAAACCTCCATCTGAATAATTGTTCCTTTGGGTACAACTCGGACTTTTATTGCATGTAGGCGTTTAATGGAAGATGTGTCCTAAAACAAAAGCAACATCTTAGAAAAATTGTCACCAATGTAGAGCTATCTATTGCCTCAACAATGAGAACTTGTTCATGTTTGGCATCATGTTATGAATCGTGCTCTATCTTATTAACCAAATAAACATGTACCTATTAGAGTAGGCTTAAACAACTAGTGTGAAAGACTGATGGTTACCTGCACCACTGAAGATAAAATGTACAATTAAAAAAGTATGTAATCCTTTGCTCACCTCAGATACTGCAAATTCCACTTCATCTCCAACTTGAATTTGATGTGCCTTATTAAATTTAAGGACAAACAAAATACAGTGAGCTCTTAACACTTATCTTGAACCAAGACAACCTAAATGTATCTTAAAATGTACATTAGTTAATCTTACAGATATACAAATACATGTATGCTTGTTTACAATACATATCAAAAAGACTTCTCCCAGAGCTGATCAAACATGAGAGCACTTTTATAATATAGGACATTATTAACTATCAATAACAGTCTTCTATAAGTTTTAATGGAATAATTCATAAATAAACAGGAATATCTACACATGTATGTTTTTAATTTCATCTCCTTCTCACACACTCTAACACATTTTTCATTAATATAATATGTACTCAAGCCTCCGTTTCAAATTTCAAAAGCAAAAGTGGAAGAATTAAACGACAAGTGTAACAAAAGATGTGAAGAAATGGTTGGTGCATTTCATAAATTTTCAGAATTTGTAATTCATTTGGTACATACAGAGTCAAGAAGTGCACTGTAGTGGAAAAACATCCTTGCATCTCGATCACAGCACTTTATAAAACCAAATCCTTCTTTCAAAGATGCTACAATACCCTGATAGAGAAAAGTGTCCATCAAGTTTCAATGACTATGCAAAAAAATAACTGTTAACAAGAATTAAATACACCGTGCAATGTTCACATGGATCTCTCTGAGGGGATTTTTTAGGTAAGATGTCATTTCAATGTAGAGGTACGTGTAGGAGTCTTTTTAATCCTTCACTTCCAAGATCTCATTAGAAATTCTCCTTACTGTTTGCCATACAATTCTTGTGATGTTGGTTTGGAAATTTAGCATTGAATCAACTAATAATTCTCTGATTGATATTTTTTTTCATTCTCATCACAAGTGTGCTGGATATTGTAGAGATACTGTAAGGAGAAATTTTATCTTGGTCACTCAGGAATTAAAAAGATAATTCTGGTACATCCAAAAAGAAAGATAATTTATAGCCATTACCAATTCCCTTGATTCTCCATCAATAGGTTCAGCTACATCCACTAGGCTGATATTTGTAGCTCTTTTCAGAGAGTCACGGCGATCTACAAAAATAGAGAACAGTAACTGAAATAAGCAAGTCTGCACCTAAAATGCAAATACAGAATGCTAGTTTCAATCACTTTACCCTTGAACCATTAGAAGAGTATCAGTAAATTTGTATCTCAATGCCATATTGTCATATTGATAAGCAGTGGCTGAGTTCTAATGACAGTGACCTTCTTACTGCTACACAAAAAGTACATGTGACTCTAAGTTATAGCTCTTTCCTCTAACACTGCTCTATTACTACTGCTTCAAAATTAAGTGCAATTTAAATGTGTTCAGTTCCAATCTAAATCTATTAGTCGGACTACTAAGACATCCTAAGACAATTTTTTCAGAAAACCTACCAACAGCAATATTAAATTCCACTACATCTCCAACTCTAAGGGAGAAGTCTCCATGCAAATCTCTTTCAGAGAAGACAATCTCTTCCTCAACATCATCATTGTTAAGGGGAGTGTACACAATCTTTCCATGCAATGGATCATGTTGTCTCTTTGAAGCAGATTTACTCAGTGGCCGATCCACAGTTCCTTGAAATCTTTCATCGCTGATGTCTTCAAACTTCACAGTTCCTTCAGGTAATTTTTCAACATGCACTGCAACTTCCTTGCCCTATTTGAACATATATGTTTGAAATATAAAATGATCAATTATTCCTTGCTATCAGTAGAGTTTAAGACCAAAATTTCATACATAAAAGCAAACAGAAAACAAATACATATACGAATCTGGCTTACATTTCTTGCTTGTATTCCAAATTCCACATCATCTCCTAACATGAGTTCACTAATATTGCCATTGAATTCACTGTAGTGGAAGAAAATCTAAAAAACAAAAAATTATAAACTTGGCTTAAGGGAAGAGAGCAGACCATGAGAACCTCTCATAGCTCTGACAGTAAGATTAGTAATTAAAATAACAACAATTAAGTAGTAAAAAATAGAATTTGTGTATTTGTACACTGTATCAAACAGACAAATTAACCAAACATACAATGTAGAGACTCTACAAACATCTCATTTATCAAATGAAGAGCTTTATTGATCTCACCTCACTAACTTTGTCTGCCCTTTCAATAAATCCAAATGATTCCTTCATTGAAGAGACAACCCCCTTTCAAAGGAAAATACAGAAATATATTATGTCCTTAAATAAAAGTTTTTTTTTTGGTTACTTACCAGGCAGCTTTTGTAGTTGAAATACAACCATCTGCCCATTCCATGTTTAACAACTAAGTTGCTACAGAGAGGTTGGGTGCCTGAGACATCCAGGAGCTTGCACTGTTGGCATCCAGCTCCTAGATGTAGACTGCTCCAATGGCTGGCAAATCCTGAAAACCCAGATGAATAAACAGTGGAAAGAGGGAGGGAAAGGGTTGGGAAATTACCTGGATGATGAGATGTCAGTCCAAACAACACTGCAAATTCAAGCTCAAAGCACATGCAAGAGTGCCTCAAACAAAGAGCACATGGAATTCCGACACACGCGCAAATACAAAAACTGCTGACTACAAAAGAATGCTGATTCTCTTTGTTGTTGACTCCATTAAATTGCATTTAACTGCATTTAATGCAATTTCCCAAGCATGAGTACATACGGGTTTCAATGTAAAACATACCTGACATTTCTCAGTATCTGCTGCCTCAAGGAGGGTGACTTCACGAGCACGGACAACCCCAGTTCTTTACAAGACAAAACAAGTCATCATGCAATGATATGGTAAATCAGTTAAGTGGAATGACAATTCACCACAACTAGACTTCTTTTATCTTTGAATAGCCAAAATTGTTTTAAGTTTCTAGAGCACCAGCAGTTTTAATAAAAAAAGGTTGAGCTAGTATACATTATAGGTCTAACAGGGATGGCACAGTGGTAAGAAGGCTTGCCTCTCACTACTAAGGCCTGGGTTTGATTCCCGAATCTGGCATGTTGTTGGTTCTCCTCGTTACTCCCAGGGTTTTTCTCCAGGTCCTCTGGTTTTCCTCCCTTCCCATAAAACCAACATTCTAAGTTCCAGTGGAACTGGGAGACAGTGAACAAGAAGAGCAACCTCATGGAATCTCCTCTGCTAAATCCCATGTTTTCTATTTATTTTTTTATTCAACAGTAACAAATAGTTTTGATAAGCGCTGACCAAAGTCCACTAAAAAAATGGGGCTGCTTTTTTCTCTCTTAAGATGTTGATATTTGCAATGTGCTGGCTTTCTACACTCAAGGTGGCCATATGAAGCTGCTCACCAGCCACAAATAACACCTGGTCCACTGCTTTTGGGAGTGCTTTTTAAGGTGCTTCTATATCTCATGTTTGGACAAACAACAAGGCAAGTCCCATTTCCCAGTTCACTACATACCTTTTATCTGTGGCTACATAAAATTCAACTTTGTCTCCTTTGTGGAGAGGTGTTCCTGAATTAACAATGTCATTGGAAGAAAACTGGAGATAGAAGACCTCCTAAAGGAAAAAAAGGGTTGAGACTACAAACATAAGATTATTGTACAAAGTAGAAAATGATGTTACTACAATTCAATGCCACAGTAACCACATAAAACAGAAAAATAAGGTATCTCTTTTCTACTTACCCCATTCCGCTCATAGCTCACCCGTCCTGAATCAGGGTCAAGCCCATTTTGTGGCTGAATAAGAGAAGAATAAAATGTGCACACGTAAGTTTACCATTTTGATAAGTTATCCTTATGCAAAAAACTAATCTTTTTAAAAGCATGACTACTCTGCACTTACAGATTTTGGACTGTTCTTCAAGTATAATTTAGGTTCAGCGTCTATCACTCCACATACTGTTTCCTCACTTCGAATCTAAAAATAAAATTAATTTGTCAACAAATTGGGTTTATGTCAATGATAGTATGTGTATTTCACAAACAAGTTCAGTTCCAATTAAAGAGACAAATATATGACTGTACTGTGATCCAAATAGGAACAAAATCAAAAACATGCTAGTAATAAGAGGATGAACCCCTACAACAGAAAAATAGCTGCTGACTTTCTTGTAGGACTGATGGACAGTATTTAAAGCCACTACCTCCCTGACTCTTGGGAGTCTTGATTACACTGGCCAAAACAAAGTTTTTCTTGCACTTTGCATTTACTGTACCGAGTAATCTTAAGGGTCAAGTAACAAACCTCAAAGGAAACAGACCCAGCTTCAAGTCTCACCACACGACATGCGATGGGTTTTCCTGTTCGCTGATCTGATGAAATTTCAAATTCCATTTCATCTGTGGACAGATTGCACAAAACAAACATAAATAAAATACTAACAGTGATAGCTGAAATACTGATATTGGTGGATAAAATCAGGGTGAATTCAGAAGGGGAAAAAAATTCAAGAAAGGGCTCTCATCATTTTTTCCAAGAAAGCATAGAAATGAATCTTGCAATGTGATTGCTCCTCAGCCTAGCCCTGATTTTTCTTTCTTCACCCACAGTCATAGAAACACTTTCATGAGTTTTTGGTTTTGATGCTTTGTTCCACAAAAAATATGCAAAAAGTGCACCTCCAATAGAAAGGTCCTGAGGGTCCTCATTAATTTGGCTGTAATGAAAGAAAATCCGTAGCTCTCTTTCGCAGCAGTTTATAAAGCCATAGGAGTGCTGCAAAAACACAAAACAAATGACTAGTGTACCATCAAAGTATATAAAAGGATAATTCTTACATTCAATAACAAGGGTGTTGATTCTAAGAGTTGCTTAGAAACCTTCGAAAATGACACATTGATGAATACTACATGTAACTTAAAAGTTTAAGGGAGCTAGCTAAAGAAAGTACTTGCTGCATAAGGATCATCAAGGTAAAGCACAAACTGCCCTCAGCTGAGAATGATTAAAATTCAAATAAAGGTTGACAACAGTTTCAAAAAAATAAATCTAAGATTACTGAGCCGCTGAATAAGGACTAACAAGTCATTACTTACCAAAAGTTTCTCAACCACACCAGTTTCTCGAGTGCTAGAACCATAACAGAAAAAGTATCAGAACAGTTTTTGAGCATTGGATGGTGGAATCCAAAGGTCTGAAGTTTGATTCCAAACACTGGCTCACACCTTTTTCTTTGCCGCACCCATCTCTCTTCAACATACAAGGTAAATTTAAATACCACTACTGCAAATGTAACACTTGAAAAAATAGCACATGTAAAACTCACGCAGTATGTCCAGAGAAGGAATTGCTGTATGAAAAAGTTCTTCCTTTGTTGTGATTGCCAATGTAATAATCGCGATTATTGTAGTCATATGATGTAGTTCTGGTTCGATCTCTGCGTTCAGAACCCTAAAAGAAAATAAATCACCATCAACTGCATTCACAGCACTACAGTTGCATTAACTGTATTAAACAGATGCCATGTTCAGCCAACCCAGTCTAGAAATGCTCAATTTGGACAACCTGTTTAAAGCCAACACCTCTATTACTCAGAAACTAGCAAAGGTGTCACGGGTGTCTGCTCAAAGTAAACAAACATTTTATTTCATAGAGTACTAGGGTAATGTAATAAGTTCAAGAGTTTGTATACCATTTGAAGTAATTTTGCAGTGCAATGCCGACACATTTCCAAGTAAATGAACTTATCATAACGTTAAAGACAACACAAGCAATAAACTGACTGCAAAAACATAGTATATCTATACACAACCTTAACAGTGGTAGGCACTTTCTACTGACACTTCGTTTGTATTTAAGGGTTGTATTTTTAGCCACAAAAAACTTATTTACCCTTCAAACCCAAAAAGTGACCAGCCTCTAATTTCTCCTACAGTAATAATGCTGAATCACTTATCACAATCATGAGAATAAAGGAAATGATTGCAAACCAAAGAAATTGATTGTTTAACAAATTCTCCTGATAAGCACCTTCAGAAATGTATAGGAAACAGTACGAAGAAAATGCCTCCTAATGCTGAGGTATTAAGGGTTACAATTGAAAGAACAAAATGTGACTAGTTCTTACAGCTGCAAACAAGCCACAAAATAATTTTGACAAACTGCAATCAAACCTCTTCAATAGAGAGGGCATGATTACCTTATGAATGAACCTACATCTAGTAGAACACATCAGTTCTGGGTGTGCATGTACATGTATATTCCTTTACTTAATCTTAAACTGCATCTGACCTTACTAGGTCAACTTAAAAAATTGTTTTCTAACAATTGTGCAAAACATTGTTTATCTGAACAGTGATGTAAACACAACAACCAAAACATTCTTTCATTCTTACCTTCCAAGTGTCAGTTGCCATCTTGAGAATTTGATAAAAATGCACAGCTTGCCAATGAAAAAATATTATGTAAATCTTTGAAATCCTTTAAACCAGCTCCTCTAAATAACAAAATCTAGTGATACGAAGATGCTTTAGAAACATTAATTTGGCCTTGATAGCTCCAATCTCCAAATATGTTTTCCTAAGGACAAAAACCAAAACAAAATGGGTTAAGTATGAAGATCAATGAAGATCAAAGATCATAATGTTAGAGCCTATCCCAAGTTACTGTAGAAAGCACAGGAGTTACTCAAACTGCAATCCTAAATAACAAGGAGATAACAGACTAGAAAGCCCAATATTGTACAAATTCCAACAGGCTAGATAGGACAGGCATCTAATGATTTCTGTTCACCTTTGGATTTGATTTTTGCTTAAAAAGTATAGAAAACATTTGATTTTCTTTTCTACAGAGCTCTTATCATTTTCCTTTTTTCTAAATGGGGATACAGTTCTACAAATTTAACTAGAACCATGTTTTAACTTCAACACTTTGATATCGCGTCTGGTTAACAATATTTGTACTATTGGTAGCAACAAAGGATATGGTAGACCTTTGCATGCCTCCCTTGCAAAAAATAAAAAATTATAAATGTTCCGTTTGAAGCTGACTATAAATTGATATGAAGGTTACGAAATTCTCTATCCAGCAAAAATCGTTTCATTCTTGCTTAATTTAATTGTAAATTGACTGAAGTACGGAAATTCAAAACAGATGTTTCTTTAAGGGAATTAATCCAGTATCTGACCAGACAAATAAAACTTCTGCACAATTTCAGTCTTTACAGATTCATCTTCAAAGCAGAGTGGAGATTTTTTGGTATTCCTATTGGTTGCTTTACAGTTTTTCTGTCAAGGTTGGTTATGTGAATTATTCCAAAACATTTAACATCAGAGGCCATTGTGGGAGATCAATTTCAAAAAAGGAAATCCTTAACACGGTTTATTAGTTTGGTACTGTGGGAATCTTTGGGCAAATTTCAAGACAATCTAACAAATTTCTGTATCCTCTTGATTTGTTCGAAGAGGAAACACTTGCATAAAACAGAGTAAATTTTTGTTTCCATATGTTTGCAAAAATTTTAAGCCTTTTCTTGACAATATGTCAAGCTATGTCCACCCTCTGACCGCTAGAAATGGCAACCACCTATAGAAACACAGATGCATCCTGCAGAGTCTCAGAAGACTCTTCCCAAAACCAAATTTCCTTGAACACTATCTAGCATAAGCACCAGACAGACCTTTGTTCCATCCTGATTGTTAGCAATTTTGAGCTTTACAAGGAAATTGTTGATGGTTTGTGACCGACTGTGAGGAGAAGAGGTTGCTCAAACCATAAGCCCTTATCTGTTCTAGCAGCATTTTTTTTTTTTTTTTGCCTTTCCTGGTCAGTTCTGTCTTCTTGCTCTAAAATTTGGGCTACTCTATAGCTCTCATCCAAGGACTCTTCTCCTTTTCCTCTTTCCTCATTCACAGTCTAGTTTTAAATGCAAACCAACTACAGAGATCTTCCTGTGCAACTAAAATCAGGAGATGATCATGCAACTGAAACTCAAGAACCAGGATGTTTTGTGGTGAAAACATTTTAGCAGTTTCATATATTGACATGATATAATTGGCTATTCATACTTTGGCAGACGAAAGAATTCAATCTGAAACACATTTCTGAAGATAACTCAAATGTATTAAATACAATTGTAATTTACAAAAATTTTGTAAAATGCTAAAATACTATTTTAGCATTTTACAAAATTTTTCCTTGAAAATTTCAGTTTAAACTGTAATGCTGTAAAATCTGTTTTAAACATGAAAGCTCTGCACTTCTGATTACCATTAGGATCAACTTTTAAAACTCGTGTTCACCATAATACTCAGAACTTTGGGATAAGTTGATTTCCTAGCTCTAAAATGATGAGGTATTTAGTAACCACTAAACTATCAAGGTGATTGAGTAATATTACTGGAATGTTTAATTTACAGAGTTTATATACTTTCTCCTTCATTTTACATGTGATATAGAGTTGTACAGAGATGTTCTAGTTGAGAATTTTGCAAAGGAAAAAGAAGGAACAAAGCCTCGGTGTGAAAAAAATTAACAAAACAAAACAAAAAAAAAACAACAAAAACTGGCGAACTGCCATTAGGATGAATATTATGTTTAAATTTCTTTGTTCTGGTATGTGGTCATTTCGATTTGAGCTGAGTACATCAAAACTATTTAGCACTCTAAACAGCTAATAGAGACTTACCTGAGGATAATTAACCAAATATAGCCTTTAGCTATCAATCTTGGGTATGAATAACGAGTTCCACTGAGTTTGAAGAGAGGAAGGCCACTACAGAAAGGTCTGTTTTCGAAAGTGAAGTGTACAGTACCATCATCTTGTGTTTATTTGCTTCCGAGATTTCCTGGGTTAGAGAGTCAACAAGCTAAATTAATGATTACGATCGATCATAAGTATAAAGCTTACAATTCAATGCCTGTTTACAAACTCCCTGTCGATGTTTGTTGAGACGTAATTAATTTGTCGATAACACGAAGTGACGCTTCACCGAAATTAAAATATTGCTACGAGCTTTCGAAAAGAATTCGCAAAAGAGAGCTTACAAACAGGCAATAACCACATAATTACAAGTTCTAACTATCACGAGTAACTCATTGCTCTGTCTGAAGTAGTTTCAGAATATTTGAGGAGAAGAGTCCTCATGGAGGTCAACGCCACAAGCTAAACCGAGACATACTCTTCACGTCATCAATAGTAATGCTTTTGGAAATAAGGAACAACAACTTCGAGCTTAATCACTCAATCACGAAATCCCTTTCTCTGAAAAAGAGAAACTGGTCGAGATCTGAGCCGGGCACAACCACACGTACAGTTGAATATCAAGGTTTGAGTCCTTTCAAAAATGGAAATGCATTTTCAGCAAAAAGTTCGGACACAGTAGTTCTCCCTGTCTTAAACACGGTCGGAGGAGATAATGCCGTTTCTTAAGAAACCATCAAGCAGAAGTTGAACTCAGAGTTGTCAAAATGAACTTCGAAGTTTTTTCGCAGGAAAGTACTCACGAACACATCCAAAGGCACGTTTACACCAATTAAATTACGAACCAAATAATCCGCCTGTACTCTGTGTTGGCAAGACAAGCGACGAAAATAACCCTCTGAGCCTTAGATTAAATATTTACTTTTAAAACAGTTTGTTCATCACAAACCTTCGGAAGGAATACCGCGTACTGAGCGAGTTATTCCTCCCCGCATCTTGGTACCAACAACCAGCCATCTTAGATCTCTTTTCAAAATAACTCGGGTCATGTGACCTCAGGCCCATGTGCCCGAGTGTAGTCTGAGGGGCGGAGCCTTTTGGAGGGAACTGATTGACGGATTTTATCATTTACGTAAGTGATCAAAAGTGAAAAATGAAACATAATAACCGAAACCAGACGACAAAAAAATAACAATTATACTCTGTAATGTTTTTATAAAACTCCTATTAGGGCTTTTTTCTCTCCATCAATTTTCAAGGGGTGAAGAGAGAGGGAAAAAGGTGTAGCCGGTGTTCTTTTTCAGGGGTATGCTTTAGCTCGATACATTCTTCGCTGTTGGTTAGTAAGGGAGAGAAATCAGAAATCCTTCAGAGGGGTTACACTCCATAAAACAGTCAAATGATAGGCAGACCTTTGCTATTTCGGGGGCAAGAGGGGCATGATTGTAGAGCATCCTTGTCATTTTCACTAACTGACCAATAAAAAAAGAGGGTTTAATCACACTCTGTGAAAACAAAAACAAAATATTTCGTTTAATCAGGGGACCACAATCTAAATTTCAATAAATGTATTGTTATTTTTATCTTTCAGGAATTATGAAAGGGGGGACAAAAAAATATTTAAAAAAAGAAACTTAAATATAACGTGATGCTAAGACAATTCGCCATGATCTTTTCCTGCCTTTAGTGCAGAAAGAGATATTTGGTTGTCATACCTTAATACTGTTTTTGGTTTCTTGTTTATTGATCTTCAAACTTTAATTTGGCATTGATAAGTGATACAATTACATTTGAAAATAAACAAACTGTTTCTTGATCTCTAATTAATATCTATAAAGGAGAGCAATTTAGTCAGCGTAAAATTAGATCATATTGAAGAAAATTCTATGGCTAAAGAGTGGATGTACTGAAGTGAAGTCTAATGTTATCATTACTTTCTTGACAAATGTAAATTAGTATGGACAGTTAAAAAGTATAAATGTAGATCTAAGAAATCCCAGTTACACCATCATTAATGCCTGAGAAAAAAAGGGATTTGAAATAAGTTAACTTTTTTATAGCCTTAACCAGAAGTACTGATGTTCTCTTCTTCATGATTTTCTTGAGAGTGAGATGCCAGATTCAGCTGCAAGAGTCACTTTTGAATACAAGATGACAAGGCTCTTACACTCCTTCTTAGCCTGAACTACCAACATCCTAACTAAGATGTTCTTTCAAAACACTTGTTTCAATACTTCAAAATTATTAATTAAGGAAAAAAAGAGAGGAAAGAAAGGCTTCTTAACAAGCATGTATTTCAATTTCACTTAATTCTCATTTATAAGCTCCACTATCAAACTAAATGATGACATACTAAATGTAGCTCATGATTAAATGTGTTTCCTTTAACTTGCCCCATAGTTTCGACCTTATTTAAAATGGAGAAAAGTGTAGCTTGTGTAGTAGGTGCTAGACAAGAGTGCAAGCAACATACCACAAGAGAGCAAACACAAGACTTATACACACAACCTCTAGCTGGTGTGTCAGCTTAAATCACTTTAACACTTCCTACTACATTAAGCACCTGCTACCAAAGCCAGTGACTTCACTCGTTTAAATAGAAAAAATAATAGCTGTTGGTACAAACTGTCCAAGAGACCTGTCAGATGAGCTTATCCCCTAATATGCTGACTTTAACAAACCATTTTGACTAAAAAACCAACCAGGTCAAGGATGTGTTTTGCTTACTGTGAGGAGGAAAACACATCTTTCATAAGTTCAAGAAAAAAGATGGAATGCAAAGAAGCCATTGGTGTTTGGACGGTTACTGATTCGTAACAGAGAGACTATTTTCAACAATACATGTAAACTCTATTGGCTATGTAATCAATGCCAGTTCCTCAAATAACTTGTAACCTTAACATTTACATATTTTTAAACAAAATAGAGAACACTTTCTCAAGTACCACATTATGGTATTCAAAAAACAGGCATTACTGGTTAGCTCTATTTACTTGTCGTTTTCTAAGTGACATCCCATTAATAAGTAACAAATTATCTTAAGCTGGCTTGTATCTTTGGTTTATTTTTACTATTCTGACACCATGAGGTAACTTATACAAGCTGAACCAAAACATATCAAGAAACCTTAAGCTGCAGTATACTATTGTTAATATTTGTAGCACAAGAATGGAAATAAATTGTCCTTAAAAATAAAATCATTACAAGAACCTGATATTCCAATATTTTCCATTTTTTCAATTTTGAGCAGATTATTTTGACCCTCTTTTACTTCTACGGTACAATTCCATTTCGACTTTGTACTGAGCATTAACCCTTAACTCTCATGAGTGATCAAGATTGAACTTCTCCTTACAATATCCATACAATGTCAAGCAGACAAGTAATGAGAATAAAGAAAAATATCAATGAGATTTTGAGTTGATCCAATACCAAATTCTCCAAATTAACATTATAGGAGCTTTATGGCAGACAATAATGAGTTCTTGGGAGTGAAAGAGGTAAAACCGGTCATCAAACCCATGGATATTATAATAAAAATGCACAATCCAGAAAAGATGAAATTTCATCCACATGTAATTCATGTCCATTTGTAAAATGTTTCAAAGACAACTGCTGTCATACACAGTCATGTGCAGTTTCCTTGTGTTTTATCCATGTGTTTCAAAACTAACAGGTCCTTTTGCCTCTCTTGTTTCTTATGTAAAAACCTTGTATATTAAAATCCTGGAGTTCAGATGTGCAATTCAGAACTGAAAACATGAGTCGACATACAGAAAAATTTGGCAGTTATTTTCCAGTGTTTAAGGTCTGCTCTGGTCAACTAAATGTAAGGATTGATACCAGATACATAATGTAACATATTGCCACTAACATCAAAAAGTTTTACAACACAGAACAAAAGTTGTGCTGCAAGTGGAAAGATACATCTCAAGAGAGACACAAGGGTCATCCCATAAAATCCATACCTCAGAATGTAGACATTAATTTTGATATGCACTTAGCAGTTCAGTTGTGGCACTGAGCAAGAACAAGACCAAAGCTGGTTAAATTCCCAATAAAACTTCTACTATAAGAAAATAATGTGATCTCTTTCTCACACACAGTATCATCATTTTTTTACCAGACCCATCATTTCAAATACACATATTTTGGACACAGTTACTGTCATATTAACTATGATAGAGCAAATTCTTGCATGCAGAACTTTACAACATCCTACAATAATGTACAACGGAAGATTCCTTTGGATTGTTTATTTTGTTGTGTAACGCTAATCGTTGATGTTGCTTGTGGACTTGTTTGCTCCTACAAACCAAAACATAACAACAATCACACTTATGGTTGCCATTGCAGTGCAAAATAAAAGTTTGAAATAAACTAAATTAAAAACACAACTAGTTATAAGGTCAAGGTAATTCACTGACACCTAAATTCTACTGATTGTGTAAAACAAACTTACAAGTTTTTTGTCCATTTTTAGTTTTATATCTCTCGCAAGCGTAAAAAAGGCCTACAGAAATAAAAGCAGTTAATATCATTGTTAGCAACGATTGTAATACAAATACTGCTCAGAGAATAACTAGCATTTTCTAAATTTGATTACTTAGAGATTACAAAATAATTACATTTGATCTGCCACAGAGTTGATTATGTAAATTGGCCACTGTAAAGAGTTTCTAAAGCTAACGTTTTCATTGTCAGACCTTTATCAAAAGTGGAAAGTTAAGGGCATTGAAGAAAATTTTCAAATGGATAATTTACAATTTGAAATTTTATAATTTTGTGAGTGGTTGATCTCTGTAAGTAATTTTTGGTGGTTAAGATAGTTGCTGTGAGGACTTGGAAACAGTCTTTAACTTTTTAAAGGTCCTCTGTGGTGTGCAGAGCAGACAATTACGTTTTTAGAATGTAAATTTGCCCTTTGTAGAAAATACAATTACATTGACATACCTCTTCTACATTGATACTAGCTTTTGCACTTGTCTCCATGAATTTTATTCCATATTCTGTGGCCAACTAAAAATGAGAGAACAAAATAAAATTCAACAGAGCCTAGAAAAAATGTGTAGCTACATATAAACTGTGTCCAAAAATCATCTACACTAGGAAGCAGGAAAGGGAACTACATAAATTTAATTTAGTACAATGGACCAGTCTCTAGTAAAGTACACTGTAATTTTCAGAGTAGCCACTTTAAGGAAATTATCCCAAATATTTCTGTTGAAAACTTGCTACTGGCTGCCAGCAGTAACCTGTGTTTAACTTGACCTGACTTATATTGAGAACCAAGGGGGTAAGTTTCTAAAGCAACTGTGGTGCTGCATCGGTGACAGAGTATAACAGGGTAATTTAGTATTATCAAATCAGTTGATAACATAAATTAGCCACCATAAGAAGTTTATGAGCTGATATTTCAAGTGTTAGCCCTTCATTATTTGCTCTAGCATAGGACTGATGTTCAAAATGTCAGCCAATAAACTCAGTTAATATTACCAAATTTCCTTGTATTTAGAACACTGTACAGACATGTTTACCTGGGTTCCTCTTTCTTTAGAGACTAATCTTCTATCCTCCATATCACATTTGTTTCCCAGAACCATCTTTTCAACATCAGAAGATGCATGCTGAAAAATCAATCCACAGACTTGGTTCGCACCCATTTAAAATATTGCAAGGAGCACAAACAATAAAGCAAATTCTACAATAACACTAAAACAGCTACAGTTAATTTCAAAAATACATTACGATACAAATAGCAAAACAAACTAACCTCTTCAATATTTCTGATCCAGTTCTTGATATTCTCAAAAGATTTGTCATTGGTAATATCATAAACAAGCATGATTCCCTAAAAATTGATAAGTAAATGAAGAAAGATTTGAACTAGTGTTCATAGAATAACTGATACAAGGAAAAGTGAGCATTCCTCTTACCATAGCACCGCGATAGTATGCAGTGGTGATAGTTCGGAACCTTTCCTGTCCAGCGGTGTCCCTGAAAGTCAAGGAAATATGCAACAAAATAATAAATAATAATAATGCCTCAAAGGAAATAATTTTGTCAAGCCTATGAGCAGACCTTAAAACAACAGATAGTTCAAAGACCATCACATTTTCAAAAAGGTAATTGATATTAAATAACAATTCTTGTGCTTCAAGAAGTCAGATTTCAAAACTGTGTTTTTTAAGGCAAAAGTACAACGTAGATCTTGGGATACTTTCCACAACATGCTTAAGGATGCACTTCTAATCAATAGTTTTGCTTTCTTACTGTATTAGTTTCCCTTTCCATTGCTACTGTTTTTCAAAATGCATTATACATATTAAAGGATTTGAATTATTTATATCAATAAAACACCAAACTTTTCATTTTATCACTAATCTCTAGAATATTCTGGAGACATTTGCAAAATTTCAAGTATCCTTAGTTTCCTAAACAAACATTGCAACAAAATACGAAGAGTGTCCATCACAGACTTCAGTGCTCCAAACAACAGATGGCCTATATTCAAGCTTAACCTCCTCCATGGTATCCCCAATTATTATTAGATGTGTTTGGTGACAAAACAAACACAGAAATATTGCATTGTGATCAATAATATAAACCATTGTAGCAATTCACGGATTAACCTAAGATTTAGAGACTAACAAAATTTCCTTTACCATACTTGATTATTGGAGCTTAATAACACACACACACACACACACACACACAAACAAAAACAAAGGACTATCTCACAACAGCCCCTGAAAATTTTGGCAGCCCCCTTACCAGAAAGTGAATGGAGAATTTTAAGTGTTTTGAAGAAAACGGTTGCACACCAAGCCACCCCTTTGAGGGAATATGCATTACCTTTTTGACCCCTGGGGGTAACTCCTCAGAATATTGCCCCCGAATCATACATCAGGGTCACAGGAAAAAAAAGAAATAATCACCAAATAAAAAGTATTTGATGGTGACACAAATTCTCCTTGTTTACATCTTAAGGAAAGTATAGAGAACAGCTCTGGAGAATATGAATTCTGACGTTAGGGTGTAAAGGGTTAAGAGAGCTCCTACTTTATATTTGAATCACATTATCTAGATACATGTAAGAGTGGTCATAAATACAAGTTTTTATAAATTGCCTTGGACCAAAAAAATTTATACATGCATGTATGTTTTGCCACATGCTTGTCTGGCAGTTATATTACTATCACATGCTTCTTACACAAGGGGACAAAAATAAATTGTGACTAATGGAGTGTTGCCACAACAAAAATGCAGATCAAAATCGATTGAAGTCTGATCATGATTTATTTAAAACAAAGTGGAAAAGACTCTGTTGAACTCAACTTAATTTAAATTTTTTAAAATTTTCTAGCAACATTCACAGATCAAAAGAAAAAAACTGAAAATTCATGACTGCCTCTCCCACTTCTGAAGAAGTCTTTGAACTCTATGCAATGTGTGTTAGCGAACGAGATTAATCTGCAACAAACCAATTTTGCACATCTTTCTAATCAATAGTTGACAACAGACTGAATTTACATTAATTACTAAGCGAATATGAAGGGACCGTAGAATCGATGTGTGAAATAATGATTTGAAGTAAGTCCAAAATCGGTATTGCAAATTGGCCTCGGTATTCAAAAATGATGCCCAGTTACTAAGTACCGGTTTACCGTTTCACGTAATTAAAAACCATGGTGTAGCTAGCATGAAAAATCGATAAGGAAATGAACAATGGCTTCAATTCTGCCTTGGAATTTCTGCGAAGTAGAGGACGCAACGGAGTGACGAGGATCAAATAATTTACTTGCCCTTGCAGAATAATCACTCACCATATCTGAAGCTTTATCTTCTTGCCATCTAATTCTATTGTCCTTATTTTAAAGTCGATGCCTGAAACCACACAAAAACACTCTTAAATTCGTTGTATTCAAGAGGCCTGTAAGGGAGAATCCAATAAAATTCCACAGCAATCGCCACTCAGTGTTGCAAGGTTTTACGAATTATGTTCACCCACCTATGGTGGATATAAACGTTGAATTGAAGGCATCCTCAGAAAATCGGAACAGCACACACGTCTTTCCAACACCTGAATCTCCAATCAGTAATAACTTAAAGAGAAAATCATACGTCTTAGCCATTCCAGTGCAACGATGAAGCTAACTGCTGATCTCTTCCGACTTTCCGACTGTTGAACTGGGCAGGCGTGGCAAAGAGACCCCGACTGCGCAGACGTAATAGACACGCAATGGGTAGCCAGGCCATATACAGAAGCGTGAAAACCTGGCGCGAGTTCCCAGGCTCTTCGCTTCGTCATTCCGGCTTCCTTCGTACCAGACACTTCCGTTATCGATTCCATGTAAACTCTCTCAAATATATAAACAACGTTATGGGTGAGAAAGATTATGAAGCAACTTACAAAATTCTTATCCTGGGAGACAGCGGTGTTGGTAAAACCTGCCTGATCTTTAGATTCATTGAGGATGTATTTTCTGATTCCTATATCTCAACAATCGGTACGTTGTTTATACAGGTCTTACTTCATTTTCCGCAATCGATCGTGCTCTTTCGCAGTTTTTGTTGCGTAAACCTTTACATGCTTAATTTTTAAGGCTATGATTTCCACTCTGCAGCTCAAGTGTACTTAAAACGCACTCCAAATAATTTACTTAGTGTAATATTGGCGTTCTAAGCCCCTAATCAATATAAAATACATCATTATTTTAGGGAAATGGTATATTGTAGTAGCTGGTTTGCATCAGCTTAATTAAACAAGATGGTTTATATTACTTGGAGTTGAAGCTCCAACACGATGAGTTTAATTGGGTCAAAATTAACTACTTTTCTTGAGCGCTGCTATTCTTTACTCATTGAATGACGTAAACTTATCGGAGCATAATTTTGTTAAACGTCTCAACTAAGCAGTTTAAGTTCGTATTGGACACAAGTATGGTCTTGTTTGCTACTGTTTGATTGATGAAATTACTTTGATATATGACAGTCTTTCGAAACTAGATTCCACTTTCATAGCGACTACCTTTTTTTTTCTTGGAAAATCGAGCCCCTTAATCATCATCATTTACATAACATGCCACAAACAAAATAATATGATTAATTTTTAAGACTGAAAATGCAAACAATATAACTGAACTTCTTGTAAAAAATTATGAACGTTAATTTTTTTCTTCTTCGCTACAGGTATCGACTGTAGAAGCCGAGTTGTTGATTTAGATGGTACAAGAATACGACTTCAAATATGGTATGTTCAAGAAAACTTTGGAATCTCTTTTTAAAACTGCTATCTTATCTACTTGTACAATTAAATTTTCCCTGAAAGAGCTTGGGTTTTACAAATATTTATAATTTATCTTTAATATAGGCAAATTTTAGAAACACACAAACAGTTCATAAAGAACAAGGATTCATGATTTTTACATTTCCACTTTTTTTAGCTTTTACTGGTAAATTTCCTGAACCAACAAGTACATAAAGAGACAAATTATAATTAAAAAGAAAAAACACAAAATGATGGCATAAGATACAAAATTTTCATTCAAATCTATGCTTTATGACAAAGCAAATAAGCTAATCTTTACAAATGTTAATAATTAAAGATTGGGCAATAATCTATCATCTGTTTATTTATCTTCATGAAGCCTTTATAACATTGTATGTATTGTTTTGTGAGGCTAATGACCATTACCTTGGCCCATGCAGAAGTACCCTTTACTTATTTTGATTTTCAGGGTAAACAGTCAAGCTGGAAATTTCCCTGAAACTGTATTGCATGCTTTTAATTTCTGGCTACTGTCAGTGACAATATTTTTTTGTGATGAGCTGTCCAGATATGCATATATTGTATTAATTTATCATTCACTAAATCAGTGTCAAAGGGTGACAGAGGGTACCCTCTATGTGTTCTTTGAAAGTTTATTTTTTCCAATGTCATCAGGTGTTTTGTCTCAAAATTTGTTTTTGTTCCTTTTTTGTTTTTTCTGATAAAGGGACACAGCTGGTCAGGAGAGATTCAGAACACTTACCAGTGCATATTACAGGGGAGCAATGGTACTAATTAAAATTTTTTGTAATGCTTATAAGTATATGTAATAATTTCGAGTGTACTTGGTGTTAATAAGCACTGGTAAATTTTTTGAAGACAACAAAATTGGTTTATAATTTTCATGAAAAAATATCACAGGAAGTCAAGACAAACAAATTTTTTAATACGTAGGCATGCTATTTGTAATTTGCACTTGTGTTACAACTTAACTGGTGTTAAATGATGACAATGCACTTGTTTTCAGCCAATTAAAAGCACATAATTTTTTCATATACATTTATTATCCACGAAATAAATATGGTGTTTGCCATCAAAATTCAGCCATGGAAATCTGGTTAGAGCCTGAAGAATGATCTGCTTTCTGATTATATTTGAGGCCTCTACGTTTTGATAAATAGATAGATATAAATCCTTTCCTGTAGTAAAAAAAAATCATACATTCAATATGATCATGCCTTTTCAATTTCAGGGAATTATTTTAGTTTATGATATAACTACTGAGGACTCATTTAAACACATATCACAGTGGTTACAGAACATTCAAGATGTAAGTAAAATTTTTCTGCACCTTCTCTTAGTGCCTTTTTTTTTTTTGTTTATCAGTCAAAACATTTAGACATCAAATTTCCATTGATGGTGACCTCTCTATATAGATTGCATCTCCACAACATCCAGGATTCTTTGTCCTTATACTATCAGTGTCTGCTAATTAATACTTTTCACCCTTTTCCAAACCTTGGCACATGGCCCTTAACAAATACCATGATACGTGTTGCTCTCTACTATGGCCTGTTGGTCCTTTTGTAAGGTAGTCAAACATATGTGTACTTCAACAATTGTTAGATTTGCATTCAAAATATTTCTTAAAATCAACTGAAATTTAAACCAAGTACTGTAAATCCTAGTTACTAGCAATAAAGATCCTAGGGCAACTTTCTCAGGTTCTTGGAACTGCCTTAGAAGATCCACAGGGCTTAAAATTCACCATGATCATTGCACATAAGTGTAACTTATCGAACATTCCTATCATAGCCCTATGCAGGAAGTTTGTCACCATGGACCTTGTTAAAAGCTTAGCTTGGCACAATTTTCCTATAGCTCTGTGGTAGAGCATTCGAAGTACTTATGAGAAGGTCATAGCTTTGACTCTTGTTGGGAAAACTCAGATTTTCTTCCTCAATGTATGCCAGTGTGACATTCACAGAACATCTTCTTTCAAGATCCACTTTATTCACACAAAACGCATTTCTACTTTTATCTGTATGATGAATTTATAACAACAAATGATATAACAATAAAAATGTTTTGCATAACAATGAATACCTGATCACATTTTTTTATGTATTTCTGTTAAGAATGCTTCACCAGATGTCTGCAAAGTTCTAGTGGGTAACAAACTGGATGCTGAAGATGAAAGAGTCATAGAGACCAGCAGGGGAAAATCAGTAAGATGAACAATGAAACTTAGGCCTTACTTAGATGGTTTTGGGTACCTGAGAACCCCCCCCCCCCATCCCTTCTTAAAGACAACTTTACAGAGCACTTATATGGAGTCGTGAGTTGCGGCAGCTCTCTCCCTCCACCATTCTCTATTGTTACAGTTAGGCAAGTTTTATATTTGATTGTCTCATCTGGGGCAGGTGAGCCCAGCCCAGGTGTTTATATGAGAAAAAGTTGGCTTTCTTGGATTTTGGTGCCATTTCCTGGGTCAGACTTTTCAACAACCTGAAAGAAAGTCATCATCAGAGTCAAGGGAGGAGTTTGTTGTCATTTGAGTGTTTTAAAATTATTAAAATAATTTTTGTTCATGAAACAGATAACCAGTCTTCCTGTGGTCCAGACTGCTGTGATGCAAAAGCCAATTTTTGTTGAATCCTGAAATAATAAAAACGTAATAACCAAATAAAAAGATGGGACAATTCTAGGTTGAACTAATAATCAGAGGAAGTTACTGCATGAGATCTACACGGCCACTGGCTGTCCCCTGATGAGTAATTTTACCTATGGCATTTTTGGTTTATACATTTTGTAAGTCAAATTAAAGGGATGAAAAATGTTTTTTTCAGGAGACTGAAGGCCATGAACTAGAATTTTTTGAAACCAGCGCACGGACAGGGCAAGGTGTTACAGAGGTGAGAATAAATTTGAGAATATACTTACTTATTTTCTTGAAACGTTTCGTTTCCTTTTATACCCTCGCCATTAGTGGCAAAGTGAGCATCCTCTAGGTTCCTATTTTCAGAGGAACCGTGGGAAAAAAAGTATGGGGAAAAAAAAAACTTTATTCAGTTTTGGATATGAAAGTGATGTTACAACACTCTTTCAACCCAAAAACGATTATGTCCACAAAGGCTAACAGGCAAGACGTTAGTGTAAGATCTACCTGCGTCCCTGTTTAGTTCCTTTGAATCATATTGCAACTTTTTTCTGTTATAATATTTTTTTTCTCTGTTGCTACCTTAAGATCTCTTCCAAACAAACTAACTCTTTCTAAGGCGTGATCCACTCGCCAACACCGGAAATTCATGGGAGGACAACGGAAACGAAACTTCAAAGGACACACGAAAAGCCTCCAAATGCATTAGCGCATGGAGGTTAAATATTTGTCTCGTAGTTTTATTCGTTTTAGTTTTGGAGAAACCTATTCAAGGCACTCCTTTCGAAAACATGGAGCGAAATAATTAACGGCGCTTGATCATTAGCAGAATGAAACCGAGGGAGATCTCGGACGGGTCACCCGACCCAAGCCTCCTTCGTTTTTTCACTACTCCGCCACCATCGCGCCGTTTTACTATCACGCTTCGTTTTACTAATTGAACGCCTAGAACAGGCTAGTTTTTAAACTGAAAGGATATCGACGGTTGTTTTCATTTTAGGCGTTTATGGCTGTAGCGAGACAGATTAAAGTATCAAGAGAAAGACGGGTTAGTAGTGATTACAATTTATGAATTACGTATGGTGTGAGACGCATAGGGTCAGTGCGCTGGTCTCCGGGGCAAGAGGCCGGGTTTCGAGACCTGACCGATTGATTTTACTGTGTCAGCAGGACAGTACCCATTTCTCAGAATGAGTGAATGTACTTAGGTGTACGACAGTATGGCAAAATGGCTTCGTAAGGTCGTTCGAATTGGCGTTTTTATTTTGAAATAACAATTGATTCTCTGATGGATCGTTTCTAACCAAAGTTTCGTTTGTTCCTTGAATATGCGTGAAAATGGTATCAAAAGTGCCCCAACAAGCTGTGATCCTTTTTTTTTTTACAAATTTATGATTACTATGATTTTTAGCTGTTTGTGCCTGAAACTTTAATTCGATTAGAGCTGTACTTGATATTGAGAAATTCGTACCGTGTGATCAGAGCTAAAAAAACGATTTCAACTTATTGAGAAATAATTGAGCATATTTCTTTCTTTCCTGTTTTTTCTGTCTTTGATTCTTTTCTTCCATTTTGAAAAGAGAAAGGAGAGAGGTCTCCAAGGGGTCTGCCACTAATAATGGATTATACTCGTCTCAAGTCTTAGTGTGGGCAGAGAAACGCGTGTCTTGCAGCGCTAATAGGAGCCTGTTTTGTTATCGATCTATCAAAGAAGTTGTATTTTGAGCTTTCTAAAATTACCTTTGTCACTTCTTGCTTTCTAGAATGCCATGCCCACCACCCAAGATGGATTTAACCCTGGGATTGGATCAGAAGAACCTGAAAATTCTCAGCCCGGCGCTTGCTGCAGTTCATGAATTGAAAAACTTGTTATTAAGGCTATTGAATGGACGCCGAGATATGTTTAAATTACTCTGTGGAATTGAATGTTGCGGTTAAACTTGCTAAATTATCGTCTATAGTCACTGGTTTATCGCTTCTGGTGAAGAGCTATGTATTGCAAGTAATGACCCACAGGCGACCAAGTAACGATTGGTTTTATTGTGTCTGATTAGTTTTAAGGCATAGCGCGAGTTTTCGAGACCAATCACAGACGTAAAGAAGTAAAGGAAAACCAAACAAATCCCGGATTCCTTTCGACACTCAATTGAAACTGATTACTCTAATAATACAACCAGACATGTCATGACTCCCAATTTTAATTTCAGACTCACTGAAGAGCATTTTCGAAAGTTTGTCTCTCAATAGATGAATTTACAGTTTAGACGCAAGTGACATAGTGGTACACATCCCTAATAGCTGTACTTAGTAAAGCAAGGCTCTGTAATTTGTATAGTTTTGTTCCTACATATGTATGCATTTAAGAATTAAACATCCTTGAACACCTGTATCCGGTCTGTTTTCATGTCACTCAAGGACTTTTTAATCGTTAAATATGTCTTTTTTTAACCCAGAAAAGTAGAAATTTGTATACCCCGTCGTCCGTAGATTTAAATCTGGGCATGATTCAGCTAGTCTATTGATCGTAAAATCTAGCGAACGTTACTTGCTGCCTCACCTCACGTAATAACCAGTTGCATCATCTGGCCCAAAATTGTGCTCGCATACTTGCCCGCGTAAAAGATTTCTCCTGAGAAGCGAAGCTTGGGGAGAACTGTGCGCTTCGTCGTCTATATCCAGAGAAAAATTTCCGATTATATCTTCACGCAGGAGGAAGACTGTCATTTATCCTTCAAATCAATTTTGCAGCTCAAAGAAGAAAGGTAACGAACAGGTTAATGTAAAATGAGCCTTGCCTGTGTGGTGGTAGTTTTCTTCGTGTTAACTAAGTTGGAGTATCCTTTTGTACAGCGCTTTCACTTATACCATTAAATTTGAAATGAATACTAGCAAGGGAAATATCACATGAATGTGTTCAGAGCCAAATTACATTCGGTCAAGTGGCACTTTTAGACCCACAGCGTCCGAGCGACCAATTACAGATAAACAGTGCTAATCGTTTGTTCCTCGACGCGAGTTTCCAAAATAGAAGATTGCAGAAGAAGAGTAAACATCTGCGTCAAACCAAGGGTATTCCAGTCAAAAGTTAAATTTCACGCCCTTCAACAGGAACACGAAACCTTCCTTGCTAAATTTTACGTTCCAGTGTGTTTTGGATATTAAGGATGTCAACAGTGTATGGCGACATACCACGGCTGCTGTCAATTCGCTAATCCCTCCCAATCACTGGAAAGTTTTTAATTAAACGTTCTTGTCTCAGTACGGCCTCTCAAATGGAAGTCCTCAGACAGCAAATCAACGAGTGCAATCCGAGCGATGCGTTTGGGCCGACCATAAATTGATCACTCAGTCTGCTAAGAGTAGTTGTCCAAAGTAACTGTCCAGACATAACAAGGAACTTTATTGAATAAATTTATTAATACTGGATAAGCATAAAACTATGTAAAGACTTTGACTAAACCTTGCAAGTGTGTTTTGGGTATACACCGCTGAGTACATTCACGTTTGGAAACTCGACATCTTAAACACTTCTCATGAAAACGGTGCGGGTAAAACACATTGAAATATCTTATTTATAGCGCTAAAAATAGATTGTAATAAAACCGTTTTTTTTTTAAGCCATCAATAAGAATAAAGCATTTGGAAAGAAAGTTTCAGATTCTTCTTTGCATTTGCTATACAGTAAACATCATCGAAGGAAAACTGCTCAAGGGAATGCCCCATGTATACCCTAATGGTTTTCCTTATGAGTGCGAATTTGGAACTCGTTGGAATGATACTATGCTACTTTGCTCAGCTTGCACAGTTATTAATCAAATGAGCGATTGTAAACAAGGCGTTACAATTAGTGTTCTTCGTAGCTCGTTGAAGTTCCAGTTGAGCCGCGGGCGACTTCCTCTCAAACAATGTGCTTGAGGACACTTTTACGCCTCGTTAGTTTCGCGTCTTTCTGTTTTCGTGACAATCCGTTTCAACAACATACCTTGTTGCCGTTTTGCAAACATGTAATGTTTCTCAACGCCGGCCTAGGCAATCCGTTGATGCTAGATAAAGCGTCACAATTGTGACTTTCGTTGCCGTATTCCAATAAATTCCTTTTTGTAGTGGTACTGTCGCAACTAATTCCTCGTTTATATGGCGAGCTAATTCCTCCCAACGTGGATAAAACTTTTGAGCAGTGGTTGGCAACAGAATTAGATTGATGGACGTCACTTAGCGGAGTGGAACTTCGTCGCTTGGATGATTTTCCACCATGAATCTTAAATAGACTATGACCCGTCGTTACATTAAGAAAGGACTCAGATGAATCGAGACTTCGATCGGCTGACATCGCATCTTTCAGATTGGATACGAAGCCATTTAGTTTCCTATCTGACCTTCTTTTGTGCCTCCAGGCCTTCTCACGTTCTTGCTGACGGTCGGGGCCCGCATTGGGTGCCTTTCTTTTAAAGCAAACACAATCTTGGTAGCAAAACGATTTCTTGTCAGTTTTAGCTGAACTTCCTATGGGTGCGTCGAGTTTTAATTGGCGACCTTTGGACGGTGATGGGATATCCTTTCGGTTATGGACCAGCATAACATGCTTAACACGATCATCACGACAAGAAAATTTCTTTGGGCAGTACTCACACGGAAAAGCCAAGTGAAGGGAATCCTTCCCTTTCGGTTGCGACCCGTTCGTAGAAGTTCTTCCATCTGATTTTTCTCCGAAATTTGGAATGGCAGATAAGACTCCCTCACAACTTTCATTTTTCTTTGCATGCATCTCATTCACATGCCTCCTACGTTCAGGTTTGGAGGAGAAGCGTTTCCCACATTGCCCACATCTGTGATGAAGAGTTAACTTGGAGCGTTTTTTCCTTCTACGAAGCAATTTTTTTGCTACTGTCACTGCTGTTGGCGTAGAATGTCGGCCACTGAGGGAAGCATTGCCTTTTTCAGCATTTCTAACAGTTTTTGGCGCTGTGATTAGTAATGGAGTCTTTGTTACTCTAGCCACTTGGCGACTAGTCCCTTTGAAGCTACAATTTCCTTCCAACTTACACACGCGGCCCCGACTGGACCTCCTTTTCCTACTGTGTTTAGTATCGACATGCCTGGTAAAACCAGTGGCACTCCGGAATTTTTTACCACAGTCCTCACATTTCCAAGGAGCAAAATTTGTCGATACGCGCTGAATAGAATTGTTGTTGGAATCACTTGAAATTTGGCTACATAGGGGTTTCTTGGAAGTGTGGCTTTTCGATGAAAAGCCATTTTGGTGTGCAATCACCATATGCTTGTAGAAGCTGTTAATTGTAGAGAAACCTTTACGGCAGTACAAGCACTTAAATGCCCTTACAGCATTCCCGGTTGAAAGAGTCGTTGAACGATGTGGACGATCTCTTCTCTCTTTCATTTCCGTACTGGCGCTCATTTGGCTCAGCAATTCTTCATTACAACTTATGCAATGAAGACTTTTGTTTGTAGAGTAGTTAATGTTACAAAGTCGACAAACGTGTGTTGACTCAGCCACGTTGCTATCACTTGATTCATAGCAGTTGATCTTATCTGGCTTAATTCTTTGGTCAGGAACACGTACCTTTTTTCCGTGTTTGTTCTTGACATGTCTCCTTAAACCACTCTCAGTCTGAAGTTCTTTACTGCAGTACTGGCAACTCCAAAGACAAGTTTTGGTCTGCAAGTTTTGATTTCTAGTGTGGTTCTGGGCTTCGTTTCTTGTCTGGTTATCTAGGGGTTTACGGAAACCAGTGGGATTCGATCCAAAGTCATCTCGGTGAACAACCATCAAATGTTTGTAGAGACTGTTGATTGTTGAACAACCCTCCTGACAGTAGAAGCAATGGAAAGCCCTCACTGTTCTCTTTTTGGATGGCATCGATAAATGATTTATATTTCTTTTCCGTCCAATGGACTGCACGTTCTTCTGAATATTACTGTTAACAGGTGATTGCCTAGATTGTGGACTGATGGCTTCACCTTTCCTTTGCAATTTTCTACTGCAACGCATACAATACGATCGGTTGGCACTTTGAGCTGGACAGAATCTAACTTTGCAACTACGACACTGTTTTTTTCCCTTAACAGTGGTGGTTTTAAACTCATCTTTTCTCGCTGGCTTACATCCTTGATTAGGATCATACTTCTGCTTCGGGTGCTTGTTCTTCAGATGTTTACGCAAGCCACTGACACTTAGGTACTCTCTGCTGCAGAGCTGACACCTCCAGGTATCACTCGTAGCCTTCAATTCACTCTTACTGCTTTGGGCACAGAAACTGAAGTCAACGTGTAACTTCCGCATGTGTTTGAAGAGTCCACTGTACGTCGAGAAGTGCTTTGTACAACTAAGGCATTTGAATTTTGAAGAGCCGATTGTATTACTCTTCGACTGAAAAGTAGAACGGCTTCCGTGTTTATATAATACATGACGACTTAGACCCATACAAGTTCGGAAACTTTCGCCACAAAGCTTGCATTGATATGGACCGATCCGATGGGAACGTAATTTGTGACGCACCAGAGCCAACTTCGACGAAAACTCTCTTTGACAAAGTAAGCACACGCAAACATTCGTCATTCTGGTGTGTTCCCCCTTGCGTGGAGACGGGGAGTTGCTGGATTCAAATGACTGGATGCATGCGTCGCGTTCATGTTCCTTCTGTATATTGGTTTCAGCAACTGCTATGATTTCATTTGAGGAAAGATTGGATGGAGAACTTTCGTTGTTGTTCTTTCGGAAGTGGTGTCCTCTATGATGACCCAGAATTTTCTTCGAATGAAATCCTTTTCCACACACTTCACAGCTAAACTGCTTCGGGGGGCTCACTGATGATACACTTTCCTTTGAACCTGGCACGAACTGAGAGCCAGATAAATCTCTGCTGGGCTGAGGATTCTTCTGCCGAACTTGCGACGAGGAAGTCGAGGGAAATGCACCACGCGATTTTCTTTGTTTTACAATTGATGACTTCAAACTCTTCTGAGATGGGCTGCGGCTGTGGTGGCCGGTATGGCTACCTAAGGCATTCACAGATTTAAATGACTTGTTGCAGATTCTACAAATAAAAGCTGAGCTTGCAGCACTTCTTAGGGAGGGCTTTTCTTCCGACGAAGAGCTTGAGAGTAGCTCACTAAAAGACTTATCTCCACTCTGAGAAGGACTGCGGCTGTGGTGAGCAGAGTGGGAACGCAAAGAAGTCGAAGTTTCAAATGACTTGTTACAGATTTTACAGCTGAAGGTTGCACTTTGACCAAGCTTGGGAGAAGAATTTTCATTCAACAACGGACTTGCAAGAACTTTCCTTCTACCAGACTTCTGATTGTCTAAAACCTTTTGCCGGTTATGATGACCCCTATGTGCTTTCAACGACTCGAGCGACACGAACTCTTTCAAGCAAATATCGCACTGATGCATCCCATTTGATGCTTTTCCTTTATTCTCGGAAACGTTCGGGTGTAATTTGGCACTGTTCTTCAATTTTCGATGTCTGGTGGCCATGTGTAAGGCCAAGCGACGTTTATCATTACAAACCTTTGAACATATACCGCACCTAGCAACCTTAAACGAAGGATGCTTTTCCCGCATGTGTTTCGAGTAGGTGAAGGTATAGAGAAACTTCGTCTTACAAATGTGACAATGGAATGTATCCCTAGCATGGCGCTTTTCAGAGGAACCTTTCGTGATATTTACATCTTTGTCAGACTTACATCCATCAACAGCTTTTTTCGGGTCCATCTTGGCATGATTATGAAGTACATGCTTCCGTAAGTCATGGCTAAACAAGAAATTTTTTCCGCATTCGGAACATGTGCAGGGTCCTAAAGGTTTGTGCAGAGCTTCATGTCTAACCAAATTTCCCTCCTTCTTGAAAGCCTTACCACATGTTTTACAAATAAATTCTTTAGAATTGGAGTGCACCGTCTGTTTCCTGTGCCTCAGAAGATTAACCCATTGGGTAAAACGCTTCTGGCACTTCAAACACTCAAAGGTGCCATTAGACAAACGTTTCACTGCGTGAAATGTCCTTTCGTGCTGCCAGAGCTTGTTTTTATCGTCGAACACATTGGAACACAAGGTGCAACGGCAGTCTAGTGTAACTGCTGGGTGCATCTGTTTTTGATGCCTATTTTTCGATGATTTAAATGCGAACACCCTATCACAAACTCCACATGTGAACGGCTTCACCCCTTTATGGATGTACTTGTGAAAATGAAGACTTTTTTGATCTTTAAAACTTCTGTCGCAGTGTATGCACCGCCAGCGGTGGTGATCGTTGTTCAGTTGGCAACGGAATTTGTTGTGATTGGCAAAGGAAACAGGCCCAGAACACACCATGAAACACTTTTGGCACTGTATTGGTCCATCTGTAAGAAAAGAAGTAATCATTAAAATCACGTTGCGAAAAATATTAGTCATGTTCTGTAAAAGAACAGGGCACTTGCCTTCCATTTTTCTTGTGGTATCTTTGTTTAAGATGGCCAAATCACATGCATACTTGTCTCCATACCACACCAAGAGCTCCATTCCTGGTTCTATTGTCTTGAAAGAACGATAATAGATTTCACCCCGGAACTGGAAGGCTACAAGATTCTGCTCATCTTCATTACGAGCACAATTGACAAAGCGTAGCCAGTTACTGTGTTCTTCAGCGCGAGCATCAACAACATGAGTGACACGTCCATTTTCAATTATCTGAAAATAACGAAAACAGTTATGGTTAAGTAGAAAGGATAAAATTTAGTTAGAGAGTGCGACACAAACTAACTCAAGAACACAACCCAGGTGACATACTGAGTACTCCTAATGCATGTCAAATTTCATGCAAGTGAAATGCAGGCGCATACGAGCTGTTCAAGGACGCTTCACAAGATGATTTCAATTTCTTTACTAACCTAACTCACTTACTCATATAAAGCCATCGTATCAACTCTCAGACCCTTCTTGGGTGATAGCGTAACCCTGAGATTTTTTCAGTGGAGTTGTTTTGCACAATTACTATGCTAGTTTTGTCACGACATCGTTCCTTGCAATGCCCTTATTCCCTGTTTCATCGTCATTAAAGGCAACAACCAAAGTTGCAAGCAATTTATTTTTGTCAGGGGCAAGAGTGTGGATGCTGTGAATAAGGCAATACTTCAACATTTCAAATTGCTTACATCCCACATATAGCTCTGATCGCTGTTTGGTGTTAAATCTGCCACATCAATCTTATCACCCCAGTAGGGGCCGAACACAACATCTGCTTCGTATCTTTCTTTGGCAAACATCCCCAGACCAGCATCTAAAAACACAGAAATCAGAGATAAAGTTAATAAAGGGGAAAAGGTGGTAATGTTCTAGAGACTGTGGTCCTGTGTCTTTAAGGGGTAGTGCAAGAGACATGTAAGTTGGTTTTATCAGCTGAGTTGATAATAGTTGATAATGAGTCGGTGGAGGGCACTACAAAATAATTTCAGGTAATTTAGTGTTAACAACTGGGTTGAAAACGTAAATTAGCCACCGTAAAGGGTAAAAAAAGCTGACGTTTCGAGCGTTAGCCCTTCGTCAGAGCGATTAGAGGAATTGTGGGTTGTGTGTGGGTTTATATGCAGAAAGTGGAGCTACGCCATTGATGGGAATAGGGTGACGAGAAAACAGGAATAAATTAGTTGAATGAAAAGCGCTCGTTGATTCCGTGGGGATTAAGGGTGCCGATTTGGAATATAAATTTTTGTTCTAGTGTTTTACGGCTTTCCGAACTGCCTAGATGTAAGGAAAGGCCGCAAACTGCCATATGCTGTTTAGAATGATTACGAAGATTAAAGTGTCTAGCGACTGGTTTAGATGCGTCCTTGTCATTTCTTTCCACATCGCGAAGGTGTTCTCGGAATCGGTCACCCAGTCGTCTTCCTGTTTCGCCGATGTATAACTTATTGCAATAAGTGCCAGTTATGCAGTAAATAACATTGGCGGAGGTACACGTAAAGTGATCAATGATCTTAATGGATCTTTTGGGTCCCGATATTTTCTCTACGTTATGAATGAAAGGACAAGTTTTGCATCGTGAGCGAGTGCATTTAAAAGTTCCAGATTGGTCATTGGTTTGAAATGATCTCCTGCCTAAAAAGTTGCCTATGTTTTTGTCACGTTTGAATGAAATAAGTGGGGGTTGCGAAAAGATAGTGCCAGTCTCCGAATCGTTTTGGAGTAATTTAAAATTTTTAAGAATGATAGATTTAACTGCGTGGTTGTGAGGGTGAAATGTAAGAGTAAATGGAATGCGGTCAGTGTTTTCCTTTTCGCAGGTAATTTAGTGTTAACAACTGGGTTGAAAACGTAAATTAGCCACCGTAAAGGGTAAAAAAGCTGACGTTTCGTTTCGTTTTGTTGGGCACGGTGGTAGCCCGCTTGAACGACAGAAACAGGATAGCCACGTTTATCGAAAAACTGGCACATTACCTCTGATTTTTCGGAAAAATCAGAGTCATCACTACATAAACGACGAAGTCTGAGAAACTGTGAAAAAGGTATGGAGTTCTTGACGTGTGATGGATGTGAAGATGAATACAATAAGTGACTATGTGAATCTGTAAGTTTGTAGTAAGAATATTACAGATTCACATAGTTACTTGTTGTATTCATCTTCACTTCCATCACACGTCAAAAACTCCATACCTTTTTTACAGTTTCTCAGACTTCGTCGTTTATGTAGTGATGACTCTGATTTTTCCGAAAAATCAGAGGTACTGTGCCAGTTTTTCGATAAACGTGGCTATCCTGTTTCTGTCAAGAAATCAAGTTGGCAGCCATGAAAAGTTCTTTTGGCCTTATAAGAGAATACCAGTTTTGCATAGGTTAGCTGTACCATGCTGACTTGCTATGACTATGGCATAGCTAATATGGTTGGCTATAAGATGCTGTTGAAACAACTCTTCCTAGCTGTTGATTTAATGATTGAATGAATTTACTTTTCTTCCTCTTTTGGTATCTATCACTGTCATCGTGTTGCGCATTCTGCAGCTTAAGTGAACCATTTTTATGTCCTAAAGGTTCACACTGCTCTACAGGTATTCCAAGATCATAAAAAAACTTTAGTGAAAGGGAAGGTAATAAAAAATGTCCTTTTGTTGTGAGTAGGCTGGGTGAACAAAAATTGTGCAATTACCAGCATACAAAATCATTCTACCAAAGGAAAACACAAACACTACAAACTACTAATTGACTTAAAAAGAATCAATCAATATAGTTCAAAATTTGGCATGCCAATAACACAGTTTGTACACAAACCTTTCCTAACATTACCAAACCTTTTTTTAAATTCATAGACATGCCCTGTAGCTTTCATCATTTCAGTTTTTTTTTAACAGATGAAAGATAACAGCTGGAAAAAATAACTCACCAGGAATACTCGAAATCTTCAAATCCATGCTACTTGGAATGGTTGACCTTGCCCTAGTCAACCCATCCCTTTCTATAACAGCTGTTGGTTCCTTTATCCATCTGAGGCCTCCATGAACTGGACAGTCACCAACACGCAGTTTATCACAGTGATTACAAACTACAAAAACCACAAAACTATGTCAGTTAAAATGTTTGAGAAGTGGACAAATTCATGCACAACTATCCCAGATTCTACATAGAGACTGAAGGGAGAGCATGGAACTATTTCTGTGCGATTCTTTTTCATCAATACCAATGTATCACTATCATAGTCAAAATTTTAGCAATTAAGTGGCTAAGAGTACCCCTGAATCTTTTTCCCTTCTGTTTCTTGAACAATAGATGCCAAAGAAGAAAACAACTTACAAATGTACTCATCTTCCTCTAGTTCAGGCCTTTTGTTGATACAATTTGTGGAAACCCGTAGTTTCTGAAATTGCAAGATGAAACTTCTCTAAATGTTTAATTAGGATTTAAAATAAGAACAAATGAAAACATCAAAAGGCGCAAATGGAGACTAAATTTAAAAACAAAGAGACTACTAAAACTGTCTTAAATGTGTAAAATAAAACTGCAATTGAGGGTAGCACAAACATTCCAGGCCAATCACAGAGTATAAAACCAACTTACAATATTCTCATACAGTTGAACCTAGGAAGTCTAGGTGTTCACTTATCAGAGGTCAGGTTAAAGGTAGTCCACTTTTGTGGTAATTTGCATATGGTGACAGGACCCTTTTGCAAGCGCTTATTTAAAACCTATTGTGATGACTTTTGGTGGCATAATCAAGGAAAAAAATTTAGGATCTATGGTAATTGTTTTGCATTTCAGGAAACACTTCCAGGAGCTCCACTTTTAAGACATCTGTTGAAACAACTTTTGGTTTTTCCTGGCAAGCGAAACTTTTAGTATTTTGAAAAAGAGGTTGCTAATGAGAGGTAGTAGCAAAGGGAGTTTGACTGTATTTTTAAAATTATTTTGATAGCAAAGAAGGATTTCTTTGACACCATCTTTTAAGCTCTTGAAACTTTACAAAACTTTGTGAGATGCAATTTTTAAAGGGAATATTTTGCAGATGCTCCCAGTTTGGGAATTAAAGCCAGACCACAACAACTTTAACCTTCCCTGCTAACTAGTACAGAGAAGATGCAGGAGAAAAGGCCTACGCTTCATCATCCTTATCAGAGGAAACTACAACATATAATCATTTGCAGATTTTGTAGCAAAGGCAACACATTCTCAACAGCAATTTTTTAAGACACTGAGTGTTGGTCCAGTTTAGGGCTTGAATCCTCAATCTCCCAGATGGTAGTGGGGTGCAATAAAACCTGAGCTTTCCAGGCTTAAAATAACCCACAACAGTCAGAGGGTAAATTATAGTTGATAACTAATAGCTCTTACCTGCAAGGGAATAGAAAATTCTCTAAGTTTTGGGTTGTTTTGCTCAGCACCAGCATTGGAGGTTACACTAGCTTCCTCAGCACCCTTGATATAAAATAACAGAAAAATTGTTTAAACTATTTTTACCTCTACCATAGATTAACAAACTTGAACAACATGTTTTGCATGTTACATATGTCAGTTTTACGAGCACACAGTGACATTTTCCAAAGTTGATATGCAAGTCAGATGTGGAATGGAAAAGTTACCAACTTTGCCACCTGCCATTATTAAGATTGTGATTGATCTTATCCTTTTCCGAATTCACATATTCTTGCATTTGTCCATCTTTGCTGCTTTTTGCCAGTGTAAATCGCATTTCAGTATAACTCTGGTTTTCAGAGCAAATACTGGTGTTTTCACAAGGTTTTCATCTAATGGAATAGGGTGTGAGTAGTTAGCAAAAAATCACCCATCTTCAACCGCCAATACAACTATAAACAAGGAAATCCTAAAAAATTTCTCTGACTTGCCCAGGAAAGGTTACTTGCCCAAGTGTGTTTTAATTCTGTATAAGCAATATCCTGCTACAGATAAGAATTTTGTATGGAGCAGGGCAGTTGATGCAGTACACCACACTTAGCAACTTGAAGAAGCCAATCTGGAGTAAATTAGACAGAGCTTATAGTTTAAAGCTTTGCACTTGGAATTGTGTGCACAAATTTTGTAACTAGAAGCCGGAGAGGGGTAACAAAAAAGGCCCTTCTTGATAACAACCACAAAGAGGACTATGTGATCTGCCATACCATATGGAACTAGAGCCCTTGCTAAGAAAAGATATTTGCAACACTACTAAAGCTACCATAATGCATCAAAATTTGTTTTGATTGAATATATTTTTGACTTGATATACACAAGTATACAGGTGTTCAAAGTAATTATTTAAGTTCAGCAACTAACAGGTTACCTCACAAGAAATAATGTCCAAAGTTTGATCTTCATCCCCATTCACTGCCACTTGACCATCAGAATTGATCTGAAACACCTAAAAACAAAAACAAGAGAGAGTATTTCAGGACTTTAAAACCCTCATCACATCTATCTTTCATGGCCGCCACAAAAAATCTAAAAACTGACTAACAATCCAACATGCAGATCCAGGAGCATAAACATCCATGACTGATATGAGGCATTCAACCAGGTGAATCCTCTTGGTTTTCTATCATGATATACTTACAGATATTGAACTTTTCTTAGGAAAAATAAAATCTTACCTCACTCACAACAGAATTAGTTTGAGTCTCAATGTCATTGTTAGCTTTGGGCTTCGTATCAAAAGTCATCTCCTGATCCTGTGAAATGTAGCAACAGTAGAACACCACTTTACCTGTTAATATCATTTCAATGTGCTATATATCATTTCAATGTGCTATATATCATTTCAATTGCTAATTTGTTACCAAAAATTTCATAAAAAATGTTACCTCACACAAGACAATATCGATAATTATTTCTTCTTTTTCTTTTTCTTCACTATCATCTTGAAGTTTGATGATACTCTCCGTTTCAGAATCCTGAAAATTAAAGAAATGATGCTTTAGGATTAAAATGGCTGGCTCGTTTCATAACTTTAACTACTCAATAAGTCAGGCTGTAGATGATTAGCTGCATGTAGAAGACAGTTGACAATTTGAGAGCTTCCCACTTGCCTATTGGGCAAGTGCCTTCACAACATATTTATTCTTGAAGTGTATGGGCTCTGAAATGCTATTTTATGCATTCCTTCAGACATACAGTATGTGCAGAGCTCAATGGCAGATGGTTGGCCTGGTAAACATGTGCCAGGTAGAGATTGGAAGAGTGCTCAAGTTGTCTGTTCCTGAAGGTCTTTGTGGCAGTGGCTTGTTTTGATCACTATTGCAGTTTACTGTTCACAACTTGAAGACACCCTCTTATGAAAAGTAGAGGGCTAAGAAATCAAGGTAGCCAATTTTTAGCTAGCAATTAGCACTTAATGAGAACCCAGGGATCAGCTATGCTTCAAAAGCAAAACAATGAAAATTTTACCTTGCAGTGGGCAATCATTAATTCTTCTCCATTTTGTTCTTGAGGCTCTTCATGACTGCTTTCTTTGGCATTCTATCAGTTATGAAAAGGAATTTAAGGGTCAAATTAAGGTATTTTTTTATCTTTTTCTCCCACGGGTTAAGCACCACATTGAATTTCTTTTTCAAAATTACCAATTTAAATAGCCTCTGAGTTTAATAATACCGGTAATTGAACTGTGATTATAGCAAAACAAAATGTTTCTTTAACTCCCAAGACCTCACTAGTAATTCACCTTACTATCTGCCATATAGTTCTTAAGATGTTAGTTTGGAGAATTTGGTATTGGATCAACTAATAATCTCCTAATTAATATTTTTCTTTATTCTCATCACTTGTCTGCTTGATATTGTATTGATATTGTAAGGAGAAATTCTGTCTTGGTCACTCATGGGAGTTAAAGGGTTAATCAACACAGTAGCAAAATAAATAAAGAAAAAAACACTGACCTCTGTTGTGTCATGAATGATTTCTTTCTCAAACAGACAAGTCAACTTGGGTAGAACATCAGGTTCTTTCATCAACTGTCCTGTGCTACAATGCACAGGCATCTGTGAAAATATCAGAATAGTGTCAATTGAGCTTTTGAGAGGCCTTGCATTAGTAAATTTGGATAGGAAATACAACTCTGAAAACTTATTTTTTAAGGTTTGACTACTCTAATATGACTCCTCTTTTCAGGGGACAAAGCCATTCAACAAACACAAACTTTTATCCTAATGGAAAAGATATTTCTGTAAGTTTTGTGCTCAGCACATTCACCAAAAAGAAAACCTCTGTTAAGGGTAAACTTAAACCAGTACCAAGGGCATCTCCTTGATGCAGGACCCACTGAATAACTTTGGTAATGAATTATGGTCCAACCTTCACCACCAGACACCTTTCCACAGTGGCAGCCCCCAAAGAGCTACTTTTTTGTCCCAACATATGGTTGATAAGTTCTGTATTGTTATTTGTTTAAAATTCTCCACAGGGACAACCCTTGCTCAACAACAGGGGCAAATCCGAAAATAGCATAACTACAATAGTCACTTAATCACAAACCACCAAATGACAAACCAAAAAGTTCAACATTTGCAAAGGTAGGTAAAACAACAAAATAATACGGAAGATGAAATGTAAGCAACACTAATAGCAAAAATTCGATTCAATTGGTAGACTCATTGTAGCTTATGAGTTTTGTTTGGTTCAATTGTTTCTTTCTCAGAACACCAATATTTGGTTTACTTTTTATTACAAGTGATGTATCTTGATTCTTTAATTATGCATAACTATTAAACGTTAAAAATCTGGACTTGGGGTCAGTAAAAAACAATTGTAAAATCAAGAGAACAATTCATTTACAGCCAACATTAATTGACACAATACCATGTCAAATATTCTACCAATAAGGAATAGCTTTGAAGTGTGTGTCTTAAAAATTAAAACTGAACTTGCTCCTCATGATCAATAAAATTCACACATCTTGGCGATAAGAAAACTACATCAAAGCTGGAATTCATGTTCCTGTTAAAAAAGTGGTATGTGTTGGTAGCATGAACACCTCCAGATATCCCCTCATGGTGGCTTCTGCAAGGATTTACCGACTCACAAAAACCAAGTACATTGAATCAACGAGTTTGGACCCTCATTTCTCCGATTGTACTTTTAAAATTACCATAATAAAAGAAGCACTCCTAGCAAGTTAGTACGATTTTTTATCTAGAAGGAAAATCACGACAAGAAGCTTGGAAAAAAGAGTCAAAAAAGAGTTATGAAAAAATGAAATAGCATAGGCCTTCCCTCCCTTCCCAGCCTGTAAAATGTTCGCTTCATCAATGCACAACCGGCACGAGATTGAAATAATTACATTCCTAAACCAAACAAACATGTCCAAGGCACTGATCTCTATATCAAGTCAGGAGCAAAGTAAAGCTCTACCTGCTAAGTTATCCTTTAAAATTCAAAGGCGACCCATACGCAGGAAACAAAAGACGTACAGGAAAGGTCAAATGCAGAGCATAGATTAAATTTAGTAGCTAGCTACCCGTTCGATATTTGATATCGCGAGCTATTCACAGCCAGGATCAAATCAGCGAACAACGTGGCAAATTTTCGAAAACAAAAGTCAAGGGAAACACGGAGGGAAAGGAATAACTAATACCAGCTCGAGTTTCCGCACAAGCGAGCTTCAAATCTCCCATCACATGGAGTGATATTCCCGATCGCTCTCGTTTCGTGTATAGAAGATTTTGTAATCTACATGTTCATATAATGACATATACTGAACGTAAAAAACGTGCGAATCAATCATTTGCGCTAAAAAACGACTGGGAGACGTTTGGAATGAAGAAAAAAAGCGCTCACCTGGCTCAGAACATATGCCATCACACCATGTTGTCGGCAATCGAACAGGAATGATCTAAGACGGCGCGAAAGTACGCGCCGCTTCACTTTCCCAGAGTTCATTATTTCCCGCGCAATGAGCAGTCCTCCCGGCAACATAATTACGTCATTAGAGGATTTAGAATGTCATGCAACGTTAATCCGATTGAAAACAACAAGAACATGAAAAGCATTACAAATTTGTTACGGGTCTAATAAAGATGACGACCGGCAAGCTACATTGTAGGATACTGTAATGAGCCAGCGGAAAACGATTTGACTGAGAATTTCCTCGTTTTCTTGGAGTACCTCTAAAGCAGCGATTGTGACCCATTTTCTCATGTCTATGGGACCTTTTCAATTCTCAGATTACATATCCCTGTCACGCTAACTACCTTTGATTTGATGAGAGTTGGAAGCGCTAGACTGGTCGTGAGGATACTGAAGATGGGGCTTTATACAAAGGCTACTCACTAGTAACCTAAAAAAAAAGGTCTCACGAGGTTCTTGAGCTAATCATCCCAAAAATATTCTTTGTTTTTACTATTTCTTTCAATAATTTTGATAAAAAGCATCAAAGGCTTCGCTGAAACAAGCAGCTGTCTACAATTATCGGTTAAGTGAGGCGCGGAAAACTTTGGTGACAGGGTTTTGACTTAAATTAACGGGGTTGCCACGGGTAAGCTTCCAAGTCCTCAAAGATAACTAAATCTAAAGAGCCGTGAGTCGCCAACCGTCAAACGTGAAAAAATCTCGGCCGCCAGAAATGGATCCAGGTTCCGTAACAACACGATTTCACCTCAAAACGTGGATGCAGAACTTCCGTCACGCCTCGCTCAATTGAAAATCGTGGCAAGAATAACTTAAATCCACAAGCTTTTCGGCGCTATGTAGATGGGAGGCATCTAAAACAATAGTTTTCCGGGCTAATCTCATCTAATCCAAGTTCCCAGACTTTCCTTCGATGTGTCAGTAAATGAGGTTTCTTAATTCGTATTTTCCAAAACTATATTCTTGCGATCGAAATCAAAATTATAACACCAAAAGACTTGACACTTTTTTCTCCTTTCTCTATGATAAATCTCAGGGCTCTTGACCCCCAAAAAAAACATATTTATAATTTTTTCGTTTCTTCAACAACGCAAATTAGAGTCCTTTTCTCTGACGCGTGTAGAGTTTACAGTAACTGTTCAAGCATAATCACATGGTACTTAGTATTTGCCAAACTGGACGACCTGAAGTAAATTCTCAATTGCTTTCCCCATTCTTCATGTGAGGCTAGTGGTAAGCACTATTAGCCGGGTTCCTAGTCTCTAAGTGGGGTGTATAGCACAAAGGCCAGACATCGTTATGATACGTTTATTGCTGTGCAATGTAAGTTTGAAAATAACTTAGGTTTTGAAATGAAGAACACATCGTAATATGAGTCTAGAGCGAAACTGTCCATGGCCACCGACTGTAATTTTCCCTAGCCAAAAAGCAGTCGTGTTTTCTCTAGCACTGTTTCTCTCGACCAGTTCTTCTTGTTCTAGTTTCCCCAGTCGAGGGCTTTAACGAACTCTTCTTCTGAAAACTGGAGAAGTTTGGCCGCCTCAATGTGCATCTAGAAAGAAACCAAACGGATTAATTCTATCTAACGGACAGAAACCACAAGACACCTGAGGAATACATGCAGATGGCAAAAGATGTGCAGTCTATCTCTTTCAGAATTGTAAGGTACTCAGAGGCGTGCATCCCTGTAAACAGTTGTAACCATAAGGAGAATAAAGGGTCCCCTTGCTTTAAGGGAAAAAAAACTTCTTTGTCAACTAAGCACACGGACGTAGCACTTAGATGGAAAAGCACTTTAAATTTTGCGTCATGACTTACTCCAAATAAAGCTGATCGAGGAATAACTGAAATGTGGACACAAATGAAAAAGGGAGCAACGATGTTTAATTCCGAAAATGAACCAACCTTTTGTCGTTTAAGAACATCAATGAGCTTCATTTGCTTCTTAAAGCCAGCCATCAATTCGTTCTTCTGTTTCTCAAGGCGTTTGTTTTCGGCCAACAATTGATCGATGCGCTTCCTATCCTGTTCGCCAGAGTCCTGTATTTAGAGAGAATAACACAAAGAAACGAATAAAAACTTTCCACAAAGGAATTAAGGGCGCGGATTTGGACATTTATACGTACTTATTGTGTGCTGAGTTAGTATCTCTCTCACGAGGCTGACTATAAACCAAAACAATTACAGGCAATGTCGAGACAACAATTGAGCCAGTGCATGATAAAACTCACCTTTGACTGACTCTTGGCTTTCTGTAGGGCGGTCTTATACTTCTCTGCTTCTTCGAGGGCACGATTCAATCTGTAATCAAGATAGTGCTAGCTCAAGTTAAGATCAAAGACAAAGATGAACTTCGTGACAATGGATGAACGGATGCTGATTTATCATTTTGTAAAATGAATGGATGAACTTTGTGACAAAGTTCATCCATTCATTTAGCAGAAATACCTACCTGTAAACCGTCTTCAACTTGGCCTAACGTTTTACCTCGACGTTGATTTTTGGCAACAGTGTTTTGAAACAAGGCTTACAGCTAAAACTCAAAACTTTTCTAAATCTCTAGTGTACTAAATGCATAAAAACCGCGATTTTGGTTGGACTTCGTTTAAGTAACCAACGCTTCGAGTTTCCGCTTAGCATTCGGCATCGGGTATAAAGCTCCTAACGTTTTGAAGGAGTGCTGAAGGACTCTTTCTACGGAACTCTCACCTTACTTCAGTGACATTTTTGTTTGAAGCTGACTGCTTTTGCTCTCTCTGTATTGAGTCCAGATCCTATATACATACGAAATGATAGGTCTGAGCATTGAGTTAATTTCCATTGAGAAAAAAAATAGTTTGACTAAAATTGGAAATCTAGTGCACTAAGCCATAAAAATAAGAATTACTGTGCCATTCAGGCACTTAGTCCATATAAAACGTACACTCGAAGATGGAGCGTGTCGACTCCCGTAACTCGAATCTTCAAGAATTGAACTGAAAGGTTTAGAGGAACCAGGAAAGAAGAAAAATGACCCCTTACAGAGCAAAACACTTCAGATAAAGTTCAATGCAGTTGGGTGAACCTTACACTGGGAAAAAGTGAAATACCTTCCACAAGTCTTGTGTAATGGCACTATAGGACAAAAATAAATAGCTGCTTCAAAACAGTTCCGAGTTCAATTTGCACTACGATACTGTCTGTTTTGACTACTCAGTTTCAGGTTAACTTATTAAGGAAATGACCTGAACAAAGTGTGATCACTGGTTCGAGTTTGCGGAAATACGTTAAATCATGGTTTCCAGTTAACGAAGGAATATCAGTAGATAATACTTGACACTATGATTTCGTTCGAGGTAGTCGAGTGAGCAGTAAACTGTACCTACTGTTAAATTAGAGAGCACTAATAATATAACTGGAAGAATTCTACGGGCTCTCTCTGAATAAGACATTGTGACTTTATTATGCAACATCTTTCCTAGTCAAGCAGTAATACTAAACCACATGTTACCTTTCTTAAAGACACCAGTTGTTGTTCAAGTCCATCATTCTTGTGTTTGCAATCATCATAAAGCTTTTTGTACTTGTCAATTTGTGACTATGGAAGCACAATGACAATCTCTTTTCTTTCTCACTGATAATAATGTTGTTAAAGAACATATTCTTTGGTTTCTAAATTAAGTAAGGAGGGCTTTATGGATAGTACAAGGTAGAAACTAAGTATGGATAAGTGCATGTGGCCACTCAAACATTTGGAGCTAAGTTAAGAAGAAAAATATAACCTTTTGACCTATAATCCTGATACTAATTGCATTTACTGTAAGCCACGTATTTCCTATACTGTTAGCTTTGTTTGAGAGTATTCAGTGAAAGAATATCTTTAAATTCCCCTCATCACCCCAGTGTTCTCCTTTTAAGGCAGTAACCGGTCACATTTACCGTCCGTAGTACCTCATATTACCGTTTAAAATTGCTTGGAATTCTTGAAAATTCAACAAGTAAAAAGATTGCTTTACCGGTTTGAAAATTTATTTTACCTGTCATGCTTAAAATAAGGGAGAACACTGGTGTCACCCTGTATCTTACGAATCCAATTACGTTACAAAGACAAACGACAAATTGGTCTTTCTTAGAAGTAACAGGGTTAGAGAGTCTTTGTTATTGGGCATTTTGACATACTAATATGAAAGGAGGAAAAGATGAAAAACCAGGATGAAAAGAAATAAAGTGTTACCCTAAATGCATACATAGCTTGAGGTTTGTGATGGTGTAGCTGCAGATGGACTAACTACAAACCTGTAATCCCTGATTTGTTTTTTGTAATCTACCCTGTTCCTCAGTCAGTTCCTTGACCTTCTTCTCTATTGTTGATTTTTTCTCATCCTAAAAGACACAGAATGATGCAAATTTAACTTAAACATCATTAAGAGATTCTCTCATTAAGTAGGGTGTGTACAACTATTAAAAGGTAAAAACTACTGAGGACATTACCAGTGCTTTTCACTTCCCACCTTTTAAGATAAGTTTTGAGGCTATTTAACACTCTTTGCAAAAAAAAAAGATGCAAATGCACAACAAATATAATCTATAACATCACTGAGAAACACACTTATTAAATGGAGTGAGTACAGAGATTTCTGGCTAACGATCACCAGGAATATTCTAAAGGTTTGTCATATTTGGCCTTTTAATATCAATTTGAGGCATTTGCACCCTTTTTGCGTGATTAAGAGTGACATTGTCCAAAACATTTGCCTGTAGAGTATGTACATCATGGGTAAGCCAGTTATAAGTATTTACCTGCAAAATATTTGGCTGCCATCTTGGATGTTTAGGGCAGAGTTAGTTTAGGTTTGGTTAAGGAGAGAGGTAGAATTGCCAAAGGGGAGGGGGGATGGACTATAGATAAGGGACACCCTTCTCCCATGGGTGGCACTTTGTAATGTAACAAGATGCCTGCACTCCAAGCTATCCAAGCATCTCTTTAAATAATATTGGATACCAACTTCATGTTTTTACCTTTTTGTTACATTCCTCCACAACTCTGTCTAATTCTTCTTGCATAACTCTCAGTTTTGCCTTAAGGAACCTGATTGTAGCTTCTACAATTGCAAAAAAGTGTATTGATATTATTAGAGACACTATGATAATCCAGTGGCTAAAGGTTAACTTTGTAAAACCAATTATAACATACATCATAACTCAGCTCATAGGAACCGAGTTCTTGGCCCTTATCTGCTGTATTGGTGGCCATTTCAAAAGTTTCTAGTTAAAGAAGTTTCTATTTAAATAAGCCCTAATGCAGCTAAACAGCTAAAATCAGTGGTAAAAGTAACCACAAAAACAAATTTAAAACAAGTATTGATTACTCGTGATCCCATGATCTCCCAACCTTGAAAATTGTGTCCAAAGTTATGGTATACAGTGTTTCTACTGAGAAAATTTGTCTAAACAGCACCCCTTGCTCTCAAAATGAGATATCAAGATGGCTCATTTGTTAATGGTCTGCATGGAAAGACAAAAAAAATAATAATGAAGAAATTTATCTAAATTCTACCTCCATTTGTAAGGTGAATACATTGTTTACCTGATCCCATCTCCTCAGCACCAACTGGCAAAACACTGTTGTCAGTTGTAGTTGTAGTATAATTATTGTCTTGGGCTTCATTCTCTAGTGTGCTGATTGTGTTTGCCAGAGTTATCCTATCCTGAAGCATATCAATTGGGTCATCAGAGGGTACAGGAGTGTGAGGTACACTTCCAGGTGCTGATGCTGTTTTAGATTTTGGCCTAAGGTAGAGATACAAAAGAGAAATTATTGTAAGTTAGTAAAATCTTGTTGCTAAATATTCTACTAAAAGTACATTATTTTGTGAAATTGCTTGCTGATCAGCAAGTTGATGTAATTTCAACTTAATAGACATAACTTCTTAAATGTACCTTTATTTGTCCAACATCATCAAACAATTTTGTGACTAATGTGCCAACTGAAAACATCTGAGGTGGCAAAATATAAACACTACATAGAGCGTACAATTTGGTAGTTTTCTCCCAATCTCACCGTGTGTAAAGAAAATTTTAAACTATTGAATTTAGCTATTTTGTTCATTTAAAACCATACCAGCCATTGTGAAATTTAGCCATCAAAAATCTGTCTGCAGCTTTGATACTGTTAAAAGTTGATTATCAAGCATAGTCTGATTGCATGGATGCATGCATGCTAACTCTGCTACTTGGCACTACTATGGATCTGCTTAGGGTTATGCTTAAGTGCTCTGTACATGGCCAAAACTGCTAGCAAAACTAAAGATTCAATCTGCTGAATCAGTGACAGAGCAAAATATTGAGCTATATAATGTCAGGTTGAATTTTTTTTTTAAATACAGAAAATTGGGTCATTGTCAAATAATAGTGTTGTCAACAAGAAGTCTTTGATCAAACATCATCAAAACACTTAGTCATGTTTATTTATGTAAGCTAATTAAGCTGAGCATGGTACAGGCAGCACATTGGCCATGTTTACCTAGTTTTCTTTGTTCTTGAAGTGGGTCTACTTCCCTGTTTGCCTGCTGCACTACTCACAGGCCTTATCTGTGTCGTGGTTGTTTTACTGCCTACAGGTTTCTGAAATAAACAGATAATAAAATATTGACTAAGGTTGAGAAAAATATTGTGACATCAGTGATGAGGAGATACATTTGCAAATGCACCAAAAAGGTACCTGTTTTAAGGCTGATGATGATGGTATATCCACATTCGAAAAGTCCATTGATGGAAGCAGATCTCTGAGAAGGAAAAAAATATTCATTAAGTGTTCTCTAGAGGCACCACCAGCCTCCATTTTCAATTCCTACTTGTTCGTGTCTGAAGCACTAACTACTTGAATATGACAAAACAGAAATGCCTGCCTTGATTTGAACAAAATTTTAACTCTACCTTCAGTTTTGTTTACACCCAAATATTTTCATTAAAACTGGAGAGACAATAATAAGTACAAGCAAAAGATACTATAGGAACAAATGCTCACACCCTAATTTACTTACTCCAGATTTTCTGATAATTCTGTTGCAGTAGGTCTGGAAAGAAGCTCATCTTGGTCATGCTGGCATGTATCCATAAAAAACAAAACTTGTCAAATGTAAATTCAAACTACAGGTATCTCTAATTCTTTCTAAGATGGGGGTAAAATTCAATTTAAGCTGGGCAGCGGTTTTACACATGTGATGGAGAGGGGGCCCAGAGGGACACCACTTCATTTTGCTATGACAGTACAGGTGTATGTCAGCTTTGTGATGAAAGGTGCATGGGGGTGGGTTCTGGTTTGGTTGCCATGGTGATGTCCTTGTTGCAGGGGAGCTGCCTTCCTTTTCCTTTCTCCCTCTCTCTCTATTTTTGCCCTCCAAGCACCTGCATGTACACCTACATGCACCTACATGTACTCCTACATGCACCTACATGTACACCTACATGCACCTACATGTACACCTACATGCACCTACATATACACCTACATGCACCTACATGCACCTACATGTACCTTATAGTGCAAGGGAAGTGCTTCAAATTAAGTTAAACATAATTTCCTTAGCCACACTGTAATTTCAATGAAAGAGGTCTCTTCTGTTATGTGAATTGGGGGCATAACTTTCTATTCCATAAATGTTGAAATATGGTTTAGGAACTTTTTTCCTTTTCTTTCATTGAGAAGGTAAGGCTTACAGTACTTTTCCATGCAGTTTCTTTTATTTTATTTTAGTTCTATCTTTTAAACAAGCAAAGGAATAATTGTAGATAGGACACTGGAACCCATTTGTACCTTTCTTTTGTCAGATTAAGTAATAAAATCATGTGACTTCTGAGATTGGAATTCCACTCTTGTCTTGATAATATGGAAAAGAGTCTAAAAAATCTCAGAATAGTGTGGAACTCCCAATTTCACTCAAGTATAAAGTCTTTGGAAGTGGAATCATCAGGGTTGTAGCCAAGGCTCAACATTCAAAAATAAAATTGTCAAAATACAAGGAGACTCAATCAAAATGTCAGTTATACATATCCCATGGGTCAAAATGGGTCTAGGGTCAAGATACTCCAAACACAGTTGAATCAATTTTGAGCTCTCCTTTGTTTAACATAAGTGTTGCAGCTTAAAATGATTCCAGCTCAAAATAATTTCAGAGTGCTTAAAAAATAATGCAGTTGTCTTTTTTAAGGAGTACATTACTATATGTCAACCTAAGAAATCAACTCAAACAAGTTTGAAATCATTTTGAACTGAAATTCATTTTACTATACCATACTTTTCCATAATCTGAAAATAAAGGAAAATGAATATAGTTTGAAACCATCCAAACTTAAAAATTCCCCTTCAACAGTAAAATATAAAATGCAGACTGACATATATAGGTGAATCATACAGTAACATGATAATACTATAACTGCAGTAAAGGTTCCAAAATTACCATCACTTCCTCTGCTTCTTTTATCAGACTTGCAGTTCTTTCCTCTAATTCAGCATTGAGTCGCCTTTGTGTCAAAACATAGCAAGTAAGCATAAATTCACAAACATACAGAAGTTTGTGTGGATAATTAATTTTTTTCCTCTGCATCTACCAACCCCACAACTCTCAGGATCTCATTAGTAATTCTCCTTACTATTGGCCATACAATTCTTTTAATGAGAGTTTGGAGATGTAAGGAGAAAATCTGCTTTGGTCACTCATGAGAATTTAAGGGTTGAAACTGAGGCTACCTTTTCCAGTAATCAGAGAAAGATTGTCAAGAAAGCTTCCAATAAAGTATAACAATAAAACCCTTGCTCATACCTCAATAATATAAATTTATCTACCAAAAATTCCCACCTCACTGTCTATCCAGCCAAATTTTGATATTAAATTATTGCAATTAGATTTACATTCTAAATTTCATTTAAAATCAAAGCAGATGACCACGAATTAATTTTGGAAAGAAATTGTTTATGTCTAATCTACTAATCTGTAAATTGTATCTCAAACGTTTGAGTTGGGGATACAGGTATTTCTTTCGCCTAACCCTCCATCCTAGGTTCTTTCAGGAATAGGATCAAAACGATGGGGGACACGACCGTCGTGTATCTTATCGTGTATTCTGAAAGGAACAGCGACAGATAGGACTACTCAATGTAAACAGTGTGCTTTTAAGTTGCTGTTATTTATGTTTGTGTGCCTTGCAGGGTCATAAAAGTAGTTGGGCACTGCTATTACTTAAGATAGACGCCTTATACTGACATATACTCCTCTTCCTTGCTCAGAAGGCCCTGTGCTATATTCTTTGTCTTTCCAGAGGGTGGCTTTTCCATACTTGACGATCTTGGGAAACTTCCAGAAAATTTTCGACCTCCATTTGAAGAAGCTGAGGAAGATCGCTTTGCCGCCGAACTTGGACGTGACTGTAAAAAGGAAATAAAAAATAGTTACACCGACTAATCTTCCTCTGTCTTGGAAAAACAAAATCATTCCAAATGATAATTTCATCACTCACCATGATAAAGTTTGTGATTTACTTCTGGTTGATTTGAAAGGTAATTTGGTACCCAGTGGCTTCTCGGTTTTCATTCCGGCGCCATTTTGAAAAACCATACTTCCTGGGAACCAACGAAGTGATACGAAACATGGTAATTTAGCGTCATCAGCTGAGTTAAAGACGTAAATTTGGCCACCGATTTTAAAGGCTGGCGTTTCGAGCTTCATTCGTTGTGACGAAGCGCTAACAATCGAAACGTCAGCCTTTAAACTCTTCACGGTCGCCAATTTACGTTTCAACTTAGTTGATAACACTAAATTACCCTGTTATACTCTCCTACAGACGCAGCACCACAGTTTGTTAAGAAACTTACCCCCTTGATACGAAACATGGACGATGATACCAATGATATAGCTGACACGGGGTCAAAGTCAACCATTTTTGTAGATTTTCGAGATAACTCTAAACCAGACGGTCTTGCCTTTATTACTTGCCCTGAAGCTTATTCAGAGTCGTTACTGAAGCGGTTATGCCTCCTAGGGGGTGGGGAATCTAACCCAAAGCGATGAGCAGAACACGAAGAGACTAATCGAAAATTTTGAGAAAAACGGATGGAAACTATTCGTGGATTCGCATCTTGGTGTTGGGAGAGGTCGACAAAACATCCAGATTGTAAACAAATCACGAGCATCTTTAACTCATCATCTCTAGGTTCCGCGATTTTTTCTCGCAATGGCTTGATATCAGGAAAACTGCAAACGAAGATAATCGACAGAAAATTCTCGACTTCTGGAAAGATAAGTGAGCTGTAAAAGACTGGTCAAGGGGGCCTCATCATTTTCAAAGGAATATGAATGATGTGAACTGCTATTTTAGGGGATAGGCTCTGGAACAAGACACTGCTGTGATCTGCTGTACTTGAAATGAGCTCACACTCCTAAGAGACCTCTCTTGTTCATAGTGGAGAACAAAGATCGACCTTTAGCGAGCGCTAGCGGACGATTTAATAAGCATTATTTAGTTAATACTCTTTAAGTTTAGTTCTGTGATGACAAGTTTTCGTTTGTTTAAGTTTCTCGTGAGAATTTCTCTTGCAACTTAGTAAAGAAAGGTATGCAGGGGGGAAGAAAGCATTGCGAAACCACTTATTTTGCATATTTGTGATAAAGTGTGCGTTGGTATCTATTGATAATGGATTGTTCTCGAGGGTATTATCTCATGGGATCATTTACTACGGTGAATAGTTTAAACGTAGGTGTAATAATTGATCTTGTAGTTTGATCGTCCGAACGTCAGTAATCTTGAACACGAGTCACAAGTACTATTTACTGATCATGACTTTCGCTCAGTATCAGTGTCAGTCGTTAGTACCGACAGTCAGTGTTTTCCTGGTCCACTATTGTACATTTTTATATCATTATATCAGACTACACGAACAACCGATCAAATACAGAAAATCACATGTAGATTGGAGAAGTATCTATATAAATCTGTGGAAGCGTTTTTTCCCTTTCGTATCTGGTGCAGCGATGTTTCACGTACCGGAAGAATATCGATTTACATTTTAAGGTGCTCTCATTTTAGCACCAACACAAACAGAGATTCCAAATTACCTGGGTAAAAAATTTAAGACCGTTCAAAAATCTTCAGCTTTTGCCTCGACTGCACGCACAATTTCGGCGATGGCTAAGTTTTCATTGGCCACTTTTCTGGATTCTTATGAAAACGGTCATCGGGTAAAAAAGAGGTCGGAAAAATAATTGAAACTCCACACTTTTCACTCGTAAATTGCTTTTTATTTCCCCTCAAACCACCTTAAATTAACACTTTAAGAACGCATTTTCTGATGGATCCAGTTGATGTCCAGTTTATCTATCCGCATGTTCTCATCCACCTAACCCAGTGTGCTGTTTGATCCACGCTCGGTACTGCGTCACTCGAGCAAACACAGTAAAAAGTTGTTTAGCATCGCATCTGGAGGAACCCCAGCTTACTGCACCATGTAAAGTGTATGTCTTCCCGTCCGCATTCAAGCACACATACGGTCCTCCGCTGTCACCATGGCAACCACTTAAAATGGTATTGTCCACGCCCGCGCACAACATTTGCGGAGTTAACGATATTGAGACTACAAAAAATGAAAATATCCCTAAATGAGCACGAGTAATCCAAAACAACACAATTTTTATCCATTGCCAAAGATAATACAAAACTTCTTTGGATTTTATTAACACCGTGAAAAATCTTTTTGTGACTGATGTTACTCAATATGTTCTTGCTGGAGTTAAACGGCATTCGACTTAGTCAATTAAAGGGTTCATTAACAAATAGTGGGTTACAGGGTTTGATACACAAGTATGGTTAGTTCGAAGCATCAATTGATGCAAGCAGGAGTAGTTTAACAGGCATTTTCAAAGTGAAACCTAAGTAAAAGAATCAAATTCTATGAAAGCATCGAAGTTCAAACCCTCAACTGACTTAGTGATCCGTCACTGAAGTACATTGTTATCTAGATCGGTTAAAAAGATTCGGATTTCGGGCCCACCTAAGATGGCATTAGCCACAGCATTTACATGGCGATTAGTTCAGATCATTAAGATTCTGGAAACATTGGGAGTCCATTCTCGATATATTCCTTGGTTGTTGAAACAGCTGGAAATTGAATTCAGGGTTGATGAAAATTTACCGCACGTAGTTTCGTAACATGCCAGCCAGAATTAATGTATAATTTGCGCTTCATTGTTGTGTGGACACCTTTCATAAAAGAGTGGATTTGACAATCCCATAACAAACCTTGCGAATAAGTTCTACATTAAAAAGCAAGAGAAGAAAAAATGAGCATAGAGCTGACAACATTAAAATGAGAAAATCTACTAGATTATCGAGAGCACCTCCACTCGCTTGAATCCTCCGCCGACATTTCGCTGGATCGATGGGCGGCATCATGGCTTGCTGTAAAATAGGATGAGAACTTCCCGGATGTTTAATCTTTCCCCAACCTATCAAAGCAGAAAGTTCACAAAATTACCACTAAAACACCTCAATAGCTCAGATGACAGATAGATAGGTCCCAATTGTGTCCCCATCGGTTATGTGATAACCTACCGGCGGGAATGGAAAGAATTATGAAAAAGTGTACGAGGAAGCACGATAATGTTTCAACCATGCTTGCAGAAGGCTGTTATCTCCAACGCAGTGCTTTCTAAAGGAATCTCCCGTGTCATTTTTAAGCTAAACATAGTAATATGCAGAACTCTACATTGTGAATAGTGCCCCGCTGGTTAGGCAAGCAATAATAAAGGTGATTCAACCAACCATAGATTTTCAGTTAGGCGTCTGGAAAGTTTGAAGAGTTTGCAGAGACTTTTCTCCACAAGCTGGTGGGTCAATTACTCAATTTTAAAGCTTGTGTGTTTTGTTTTTATACACAAGAGTTTTGGGCATTATCATCGTATAGTATTCTCATAGTGTACATAAAAACAAGCGCGTTACTTATGACTGCTCTTACCTGTAATGTAGCATTTTGATCCTGTGGGTACATTTGAGTCGCTAGACGGTAGGCACACGGGGTTCACCCTGGCAGAGAGTTTCACAGGCGCAGCGAGTTCAATCAGGGCGATGTCATTGTTAAGTCTACCAGGACGGTTGTATTGAGGGTGAGAAATTACTCGCTTGGCACCAACTGACTCCTCTGTTCCTTCGTTAGCATTCCGATTGTGATCTCCCACAACTACTTTGTAGCTAGCAGGGTTACTAAAGATAAACGACACAAGTATGCTCAGGTTGATTTGGAATTGCTGCATTATGGTTATGCACAACCTTCAATCGACAAAGAAGCTTATTACATTGTTGGACTGTCAAATATAGTCTGGAATATTTGTCCAATGAAGGAATATTATGCTATAGTGGGATGTGAATTATGCCTCGCCGTGTTTTGGTTGATCGGCCAGTTTATTCGTCTTATATTTGGTCACCTGTTCGTATGGTAAGTCAATCAGTTTCAAATCTCGGTACTTTTCTCGATTGTAGGTTGGTTGGTTGTTTTATGGTGCATGGACAGTCAGTTGTAATTAGCCGGCTAGATCTGTTGACCAGTTTCATTGATTGTTCGACAGTAGTCGTCGAGATGGTCATTCGTTTGATCAGTCGGTTGGGTCGGGTCTGTTGGTCGTTCCTTATTTATAGTCGTCAGTTGGCCAGTTGGTTGATTGGCCAGTCAGTTCAAGATTACTGGTCAGTAAGCTGGTTGGTCGCTATATGTTGAGGTTGGTGGGTTGATCAGTTTGGTAATCAGCCAATGTTTTTCTCAAAAGCTTCATTAGGCCTGCTCCCTGTTTATCAAATAAAAAAAGGAAGCCCTTACCTGCTGCTTGCTACACAATGGGCAGCAGTAACAATCCAAGTGGCAGAGATGAGCGATCCTCCGCAGATGAATCTGTTGTTACGCTGTAATGCAATCTATATGACGAAACATCGATAGAATGAATACTAACTTCAAATTTCAAACATTTTATAAACTTTCATACAGGATCCGTTACCTTCAGTTGAAGGGATTTTAATGAACCTTAGCCTGCAAACTTGGTTTTAAAAACATGACTACAATTCAGGAAGTCATGTTTAAACTTGCTAACAATGAAACCAAACGTTTATCTCGCCAGCGGTGATTTCCTAATATACCCTACAACTGCTGTTAAATTGAGGTTGCTAGTCTCTCGAAACAGACAGCGTAGAAGATGTACACTTGCAAAGCTAAGACATCACACCTGCCATGGCCAGGCTCCAGGCTTTGCATCTTGACCTCCAATGACACGTGATTGAGAGATGGGCGTGGAGCCACATTGGAGTTGTCCTGTTGTGAAATTGCAATAAATTCTACTCAGTCAGTCAACTTAAAGGAGAAAAAGGCTGTGAATATTTTCTAATTCGAGAGAATCATTTTACCATTGACTCTATTTTCTTGTGAAACTTGGGTAAGTTTAATCGAGTGGGTTCAACAACAAAGATTGATCGGAATCAAGGAACTGGATTAAGATAATTTTCGCATTGTTTCAGTCATCAAGTTTCAACCTCTGAAAAAATTGAAATCTAAACGGACATAATGGTAAGACCTGTCTTTACGATTTCTTAAAACGCAGTCAATAGTTTGAAAAATGTGTGCAAGAATGAGGTTCTGTTCCCACACTTAAAATTAATATGTAAGCCAAAGAGGAATGTAGGTTTAAAATTTATTTGTTGATAGATCTAATTCCTAACGAGCAAAGCCATCGAGCCGATCGAAAGGGAATTTGGCGAGTTGGTTGAGAAAAGCATTTTTTTATTCATTCTATATTCGTTTTAAAGAGTTTTCAGTTGATGCGAAGTATCAAATTCATTCTCGGCTTTTCAGTCGTTGACTATTTTAGCGGACCTTTTGCATGCGTCGACTCCAAATTGTGTCGCGGTATTCTCGGAAAACTGAACACAGACGTTTTCCACCTTTTTTTGTACTCTGTTCGTATTTCTCAGGCAGCGCACCATGGAACTTACCTTGACACATTCTACATGACTTTTGACAGTTTTTTTGCGCCCAAGCTTTGTTATTGTTGCAGTAGTTTCCACATGATGCAATTGAAGGACAAATGTCGGCGTATTTGGGATTATCATAACAACCTGCGGAAACAATAGTATATTTTATTCCAACGGTGCATTTACATTGTGTTCCTTAAAATTCAATTGCTGTGGGCGCTGAATGATTTCACAGTTTGCCGCTTCATTTTCAAGGCGTGAAAGTAGCGCATAAACATTTACGTGGAAGATGAAGAGAATTATAAACTATGCATGTTTTTCTCTTTTTGAAATTTGCGGTAAGATAAGATGTAATTACTTGACGTAAAAATCTTACTTGGAGGTGGGGGTGGTTTTGCCGTTGGTGGAGCCGGGCTGGACGGCGGCGGTGGAGTCACTGGTGGAGGTGGGCTGGGTTGTGAAAGGCCTGCCTTGTTGGTTATCCATGACCTCAGATGAGCAATGCTAGCGTACACTCCATACTTGTTAGGCCTGGCGCAGCCATAACCCCAGCTTGTGGCTCCCTCCAAAAACCATCTGCCATTGAACTCGCAGACGAGCGGCCCACCACTGTCGCCTTGACAAGCATCCACTCCGCCTTGGTCCAGACCTGCGCACAACATGGTGTCGTCTATCTTGCCAGGATAGGCTCTCAAGCAACGCGCTTTTGATACAAGTGGGACGCTGGCTTGCATGAGTTCATTGGGTTGACTGCCACCGGATTTCAGAGTCCCCCATCCAGTTATCCAGCAGTGCTTACTTTTGTCAATGGGAAGAACATTGCTTGGATTTGATAGACAGACGAGCCCAACTCCTCGACCAAGTACAGCGGGTTTAGCCAGTTTTAGGAGAGCTACGTCATTGCTGAAGGACTTTGGTTTTCTATAATTCTCGTGGGAAATGATCTGGGCAACGTTGATATTCTGTTCTGTTCCAACTAATTGTGATGTCCTGAAATGAGCTCCCACTCTACGTTTGATGAAAAGATAGCATAAATTGACAAAACATTTCCCCGCTACAAGCTGTATTTCAAATTTGTATCTGTTTGATTTGGTTTTCTTGTTTGTTTGTTCGTCTTTTTATTGCACTGCAATGTAACATCATTTGTATGTTATGGCAGATATCATTGATCGACGCCTAGACGCAAAATACAAAAACTTTCTTTGATCTGCCAAGCTGTTATCAGCAGCATGTATTTGAAATAATTATTTTTCTATGTTTTTTTTTTCACTATCTCGCTGAGTTCACATCAGGACTCACATCTAAATGAAATCTTGCATAAGAGTGACACAAACAACTCAACCCATTTCAGAGCGAGTTGAATTTAGTACAATTGTCTGATTTTGTATGGACGATAAGTTTGCTGTTCTAAAGAATAATTTCGCTACAGTTCTTGAGCAACGAATACCAACCTGACTCTAACGCTACGGGGCGATTTCCGAGTAACACAATGCGCTGCTGTTACCACCCACAAAGGGTCAATCAATGAGCCTCCACAAAACTGCCGATTGGATGTGGTCAGCAGCATTACTTGCCAAGGCCAGCTGTTTCTGGGTGCTACTGTGCCACCAACGATTCGAACACTTGGTCGGGATCCACAATTACCGGCTAGACAACAAACAAACGGACAGCACTTCAATATCAGCTAGGATGGATGCTTGTCCCTTGATCAAATTATGACAAATAAATTCGATTTGTTGTGACGCGCATCAACTGCCTTTCAAATGCTTGGGTTTGGTTTTATTGTTAATTATTGACTTCGCTCAGCAGTAAAGTATGTAGCTGGTTATTGCAAGGCTGAATGCAACTTCATCTTGCAGAGATCACATGCAACGCGCAGAAAAATATTGAACGAAATTGAAATCGATACAGGTTATAACTTCAGAATGAGAAAAACACACAAAAATAGTAAATTTGACTATCAATAAAAAACTGTGGAGAAGTTTTGTCTGCAATGAAAATGTCTCGAAAAAGAGTCTTTCAATAAAACCAGGCCATTTAGATGCAGTATCCATGTAATATTTTTATACGGAAGTCAGTTACAATTACGCATTGTGATTCAGTTATCTTAAAATGAAAGGTACCTGGAGGCGGAGGAGGAGTGGGTGGGGCGAAACAACCTCCTTTCGCTATGGTTACGTCATCAATAGCTATATCTCCTGACCAAGACCTCCCTCTGACTCCCTCAAATGTCACTTGAACCTGAAAGAAGATAATCAGTTTGCACACATGCACAATCGGGAAGAAAGATTTAGACACCAATTCTTGGATGGAACAATTCCGCGCTTTTTCGCTAGTTTTACAAAAATTTGATCAAATTTCCTATAATTTATCAGCATGTTGTGACCATTTTTGACACATGCTACCAGAGCCATACAACAGCTCTCTAGGTACACGGCGATTTCGGGCTTACAGTCAAGATTTTCATGAAAAAAGTTGAAGATAGACGAGTCTCAAACTATGATTGCAATCCTAAAGTTAGAAATTGTTATCAAAAAAGACTTACTCGTCCACTTGAAGAGATAGGAACCTTCGCCTCTATCCACTTATTTCCCTGGCTACCTGACTTGGTAAAGACATTTTTACTTCCGCTGTAGACGTTTAGAGTTCCCACCGACTTTCCAAACATGTGATAAAAGAACTTCAGACAAAACGCGCCGCTATCAGAACCCGTAAATCTAAGTCTTGCTTTGTCTCCGTTTACTCTTGGAGATGAGGTTTCAATGTACATATACTTTCCTGAAGATAAAAATAAAAAGTTGTTTCGACATGAAATTTACCAGCTGCAGGTGGTAACCATACAACTAAATGGCGACACCAAAATATTTTCGAACATTTACCACACAGATTATTAGTCAAGCAAAATGCTTTGCGCAGTAATGATGAAACTCAAAACGCTATCAAGTTAGTACTGAGCAGCTTTTATTTAATGCAGTATAATTTTTTTTTGTTCGAGTGAGCTAAGCACGCTTCGGACCAATCAAAATTTTCTGGCGCTAGGTCTAAGGCTTTTCAGAAAGTAGTTAGTGATGAACACAAGCTCTGAAAACGCAGGAAATTTATCACCATGCAAACGAGGGAAGGATTCACAACCGTAACTCAAGCTTTACTTATCAACTAATCGCTGCGAGAGAAAAATAGAATTTTTCAAAAGCGAAAAATTTTGAACTAACTTCCGTATCTAGAGTTGCTTCTATCTTTTTTTTCCCGCTTACAGAAATTTGTAAGTTCGGTACCTGCTTCACTTTTGCATAACTAACTTCGAATTACTTTTATTCCAGCTCGGTTGCGCTCAAAAATAAAGACCGCAAAAATCTGTCTTCTGATACTTGTTCTACCTGTTATCTCTTTAAATACGAGATTTATGTGATTTTTGGTCATAAAGTAGGAACAGAAGGTGGAATTTAAATGCAATGCAGGATAAAATGCAAAGTAATGATTCCAGCGAAAAATCTCTTCGACTCTATCTTAGTGATAATGGTCTCCTGTTCATTGAAAAGAAAGGCTTTAAAAATAATTCTTCCAACACATACCTGAACCTCCGTGGCCCGAAGATGGGCCAGTGTTGGACGATGGGGTGGAACCAGATCTCGATGTCCAGTCAAAATTATCTGACTTATCCTGAGTCCAGCCAGAACACATACCACTTTCAAAGTTACAAGAGGATGCTGCATAGGAATTTAAATCAATGAAATCTTTTTCTCTAAATATTATTTACTCTAGCAAAGATTATATGAAAACCGAGTGTGTGAAAACATAGCGAAAAAAGTATAACTTCTTACGAGGTATTCGTTACTTAATGTGTGTTGGGATTTATCGTTGTTTAAATGTTTTGTAAGTGTTTTGAAAAATCAAGCAGGAATTATACGAGAATGGTAGATTATGTTTCTTGACTTTCTGTGCTTTCCGTAACACAAATAGATTGAGTAAATATAACAGGATTTATACAACCTGAAGATGGAAGAGGAGGAGAAGCAGTGGCAGGTGTCGTTCGACAACTCCAGTACCCTGCTTACTATTACGAGAATACAACTGCTGTGAAAATGGAATTGTTCTTTGGACATCGCTCAGGGCTGTGAAGGGACCAGGGAAGGGCAAAAATCTCCAATAGCAAAAATTCCCAAGGATTGAAATTATGATTAAAAAGTCAGGTTCAAGTTTGAGCTTGTATTTGAGAGAAATGGCAAAATGTTTCTTTCTCGCGAGTATTTATGTTTCCGATTGGGAAATAAATTTAACTTGCAGTGTAAAGCGATCACTGGTAAAAGTTTCTAAAATAAATAATCAAAAGGAGAAGACTAACATAAAATGGTTACTGATTTACCTTCCCCAGACAAAACTTCCCCAACAATCAAACAGCACAAGACAGCGAATACCCTCATCTTGCTGAAATCTGAAGATGTGATTGTCAAGAGCTCTTGGCTACTTTTTATAACAGATCCTACACCTTCGAAAGTTACCCTGTGTAAACTTAAAAGCTGCAGCTGTCTGAAATGTAAATCACAGCTGTCTGGAGAGTAAATACTTCCGACTGTGCTTCATGGTAATGAAGGTAATTACTTTGTTAGAAAACCTCACAAACACCGGCAACTTCAGCTATTTAGTTCATGTTTATACGCAATTAACACTAAAAAGATATTGAAAATGGCAGCTTTCCTCTTTCTTTTTCTTCTGATCTTCGCCGAATGACTGAACAGTTATCTCGCGCAAGTATAGATACCTATTTCGCATTTCCTCTGAGCTAAGCTGAAGATGATATGTGGATTTTGGAAGAGCTATGGAAACAAACTGGCTGCAATTAAAACTAAGAAATGCCATTATCAATCCTTGTTGATTAAAATACTGAGAACAGTTATTCGGACTTTAATTTTCCCAAACCGATCAATCGAGACCGCTTTCTCACATGATGAGCAAACATTCTCACAGAAACATGAATTGATCGTTAGAAAAATGTAAATGTTTGCTAAGAAATTAAACTTTAAAAAGTTGTTACATGCATTCCAGAACCACAAAGATTTCAGTGAAATATTCAGGTAGCAGCTCTGTTTTAATTTACAGTTTTTTTCAGTTTCTTGACTTAGATTCTGAGCATTTTTATTCTCTTTTCCATATTGTTCATATTGTTTAAATTGGGTTCATATTTAAATTGTCGATTTTGCAAAATGATATCACAGCCGTCAGAGTCAATTAGGTGTATTCTTAGGTCTATAAAAGATAACAAGGGCTCCAATAACTCCTCTATCATCGACATTCAGTGTATTCTTATGTCTATAAAAGATAACAAGGGCTCAATAACTCCTCTATCATCGACATTCAATGTTAGTAAATACTCTATTCAATTCGCGGATCATTCGCTTACGTAAACACGTTAACAATCCTCCGAGGTATGAATGCGGGTCAGTAACAACAGTCACTAGTTAACTAGTTACTGGGTTAATGTTGGGTTAGGGCAAGGGAAGGTAGTTGCCCAGATACTGATATTGATCTGACAGTCTTTGTTATTGGGCATTTTGACATACTAATATGAAAGGAGGGAAAGATGAAAAACCAGGATGAAAAAGAAATAAAGTGTTACCCTAAATGCATACATAGCTTGAGGTTTGTGGTGGTATAGCTTTGATGGACTAGCTACAAACCTGTAATCCCTGATTTGTTTTTTGTAATCTGCCCTGTTCCTCAGTCTGTTCCTTGACCTTCTTCTCTATTGCTGATTTTTTCTCATCCTAAAAGACACAGAATGATGCAAATTTAACTTAAACATCATTAAGAGATTCTCTCATTAAGTAGGGTGTGCATAACCATTAAAAGGTAAAAACTACTGAGGACATTACCAATGCTTTTCACTTCCCACCTTTTAAGATAAGTTTTGAGGCTATTTAACACTCTTTGCATAATAAAAAAGATGCAAATGCACAACAAAAATAATCTATAACATCACTGAGAGACACACTTATTAAATGGAGTGAGTACAGAGATTTCTGGCTAACGATCACCAGGAATATTCTAAAGGTTCGTCATTTTTGGCCTTTTAATACCAATTTGAGGCATTTGCACCCTTTTTGCATGATTAAAAGTGGCATTGTCCAAAACATTTGCCTGTAGAGTATGTACATCATGGGTAAGCCAGTTATAAGTATTTACCTGCAAAATATTTGGCTGCCATCTTGGATGTTTAGAGCAGAGTTAGTTTAGGTTTGGTTAAGGAGAGAGGTAGAATTGCCAAAGGGGAGGGGGGATGGACTATAGATAAGGGACACCCTTCTCCCATGGGTGGCACTTTGCAATGTAATAAGATGCCTGCACTCCAAGCTATCCAAGCATCTCTTTAAATAATATTGGATACCAACTTCATGTTTTTACCTTTTTATTACATTCCTCCACAACTCTGTCTAATTCTTCTTGCATAACTCTCAGTTTTGCCTTAAGGAACCTGATTGTAGCTTCTACAATTGCAAAAAAGTGTATTGATATTATTAGAGACACTAAGATAATCCAGTGGCTAAAGGTTAATTTTGTAACACCAATTATAACATACATCATAACTCAGCTCATAGGAACCGAGTTCTTGGCCCTTATCTGCTGTATTGGTGGCCATTTCAAAAGTTTCTAGTTAAATAAGCCCTAATGCAGCTAAAACAGCTAAAATCAGTGGTAAAAGTAACCACAAAAACAAATTTAAAACAAGTATTGATTACTCGTGATCCCATGATCTCCCAACCTTGAAAATTGTGTCCAAAGTTATAGTATACAGTGTTTCTACTGAGAAAATTTGTCTAAACAGCACCCCTTGCTCTTAAAATGAAATATCAAGATGGCTCATTTGTTAATGGTCTGCATGGAAAGACAAAAAAAATAATAATGAAGAAATATATCTAACTTCTACCTCCATGTGTAAGGTGAACACATTGTTTACCTGATCCCATCTCCTCAGTACCAACTGGCAAAACACTACATACAAGGTAGAGATACAAAAGAGAAATTATATTGCTAAATATTCTACTAAAAGTACATTTGTGAAATTGCTTGCTGATCAGCAGGTTGATGTAATTTCAACTTAACAGAAATGACTTCTTAAATGTACCTTTATTTGTCCAATATCATTAAACAATTTTATGACTAATGTGCCAATTGAAAACATCTGAGGTGGCAAAATATAAACACTACATAGAGTGTACAATTTGGTAGTTTTCTCCCACTCTTACTGTGTGTAAAGAAAATTTTAAACTATTGAATTTAGGTATTCTGTTCAAAACCATACCAGCCATTGTGAAATT